CAGACTGCATGCATCTTTGTTGGAAAGATGTCTTTCTTGTAAGCAGCAATAGATAGGTTTTGTTTCTTAATCCATTCAGCCAGTCGGTGTCTTTTAACTGGAGAGTCGAGGCCATTAACATTCAATGTGACTATTGATAAGTAGTAAGTTTGTCCTGCCATTTTCCCAAATATATTTCTAATATATGCTTTGAACTTCCTGTGATCTTTTGCTGTGAGGTTTTCTTCCTTTACCTTCTTTCGTATTGATGACCGTGTTTCTGTGTGTAACTCATCTTTAAGCATCTTTTGCAGGACTGTACTAGTGGCGACAAATTCTTTCAATTTCTGTTTGCTGTGAAAGGTCTTTATTTCACCTTCATTCACACATGAGAGCTTTGCAGGATATAATATTCTGGGCTGGCAGTTTTTCTCTCTTAGTACCTGGGCTATGTCTCGTCAGTCCCTTCTGGCCTGTAGGATTTCTGATGAGAAGTCTGCTGTGAGTCTAATTGGAGATCCTCTGAGAGTAATCTGATGTTTCTCTCTTGCACATTTCAGAATCTTTTTTTTTTTTTTTTGACAGGCAGAGTGGACAGTGAGAGAGAGAGACAGAGAGAAAGGTCTTCCTTTTGCCGTTGGTTCACCCTCCAATGGCCGCCGCGGCCGGCGCGCTGCGGCCGGCACACCGCGCTGATCCGATGGCAGGAGCCAGGAGCCAGGTGCTTTTCCTGGTCTCCCATGGGGTGCAGGGCCCAAGCACCTGGGCCATCCTCCACTGCACTCCCTGGCCACAGCAGAGAGCTGGCCTGGAAGAGGGGCAACCGGGACAGAATCCGGCGCCCCAACCGGGACTAGAAGCCGGTGTGCCGGCGCCGCTAAGCGGAGGATTAGCCTAGTGTGCCGCAGCGCCGGCCTTCAGAATCTTTTTTTTGTGGTTCGCTGTGGTGAGTTTGATTACAATGTGTCGTGGTGAGGATCTCTTTTGGTCATGTTTACTAGGGGTTATATGAGCTTCCTGTGCTAGAATGTCTCTGTCCTTCTCCAAACCCAGAAAGTTCTCTGCTAGTATCTCACTAAATAGGCCTCTAATCCTTTCTCTTTCTCCATGCCTTCAGGAACTCCTAGAACCTGAATGTTGGTTTTTTTAATACTATCCTGTAGATTCCTAACAGTATTTTTTAGATTTCTAATTTCCTCTTCTTTTTCTTTGGTCTGACTTTATACTTTCCTGTGCTCTGTCTTCTAAGTCTGAAATTCTCTCTTATGCTTCACTGATTCTGTTTTTAATTCTCTCAAATGTATTTTTCATTTGTTCTGTTGAATTCTTCATTTCCTTTTGATTTCTCTTCAATATCTCAATTTCATGTTCTACTAAATTCCTCATTTCATTTTGATTCCTGCTAAAGATTTCATTTTTCACGAGAGAGATTTTTCTATCCTGTCCATTAAGGATTTCTGTAGTTGAAGAATTTGTTTTTGAGTACTTTTAGATATTCTTATCATAAATTTTTTGAAATCTGTATCTTGTATTTCTTCTGTCTCATCATCTTCATAATCTTGTATTGGAGTGTCATGTTCATTTGGGGGTGACATGATGTCTTCCTTGTTCTTGTTTCCTCTGTTTCTGTGTTTGTTGTTTTACATTGTGGAGATATTCTTTGGTTTCTTCTTTTTTTTTTTTTCTCACTGTGGTGCCTTTTCTTGTTATACTATGACTCTATTTTAAGTGGACTGTCTACTTTTGGTGAATCTCTAGAGGCTTGTGGTAGGTGTGGCCAGAGAGCTACTCCAAAAGGCCAAAGGTGTGCCAAAGGTGATACACTCAGGTTTGGCATGGTAAATCTCTCTCTCTTTCTCTTTTTTTTTATTCAGAAGGGAAGTAATTCCGCTTAGCTCAGCTCTTCTCCTTGATGGCAATCAGTGCCTGAGCGCTAGCCCCAGTGGGTATAATATTTGTCTGCTGTGTCCCAGGTACCACACAAGGATATGTGCAGTCCTCATTGTAAGCTCAGATTCACTGCAATGTCTCTCGCCGCATAACCAAAGCTGCCCGAATTTGTGGTGTCTCCCACCAAGACTACTTATGTCTCAGCCACACCGTGAGTTCTTCCACACACCCTCAGATTTTTTTTTTCCCACAGTCCCAGTTCATAAGTTCTATACATGCACTAGGTCTTAACCTCCTGTTATTTCTCCCCTCCAGAGTCAGGTTTTTCTGCTTGGCTGAGGGCGGGCACAGCTCTGAGCTGGTGCAGCTGTTACATATGTCCAAAATGGCACCTGCTTTTTTGTCTTGCTCACCTTTAAGGTGAGTCAAGAGAGAGAATCATGTCCATACCAGTCTCTTTTATTTGTTTTTTCCTCTCCTCTAATTAGGCTGGTGTACTTTCTTTTCAAGCCTCCTTCCCTCTAGGCTCTTCCTGCTGCTTTACTGCCAGTGTCTCTTTCTACTGTGGTTTCGCTTCACCTCTCTTTCCAGCGCTGGTGCATAGACTTGGCAGCTGGAGTCCTGAGCCATGGGCTCAGGTTTTTTTTTTTTTTTAAATTAATTAATTAATTAATTAATTTGGGAGAAAGAGTTACAGTGAGAGGGAGAGATAGAGAGAAAGGTCTTCATTCCATTGGTTCACACCCCAGATGGCTGCAATGGTTGGAGCTGTGCCGATTCGAAGCCAGGAGCCAGGTGTTTCTTCCTGGTCTCTCATTTGGGTACAGGGGCTCAACCACTTGGGCCATCTTCTGCTGCTTTCCCAGGCCATAGCAGGGAGCTGGATTGGAAGAGGGGCAGCTGGGACTAGAACTGGCACCCATATGTGATGCTGGTACCTCAGGTGGAGTATTAACCTACTGCGCCACGGTGCTGGCACCAGGAGGGGTCTTGTTTCATACTCCTGCATGTGGTAATCCAGTTTTTCAAGCACCATTTGTTTAAGAGACTGTCCTTGCTCCAGGGATTGATTTTAGCTCTTTTTTGAAAGATAAGTTGGTTGTACATGTTTAGATTGATTTCTGGTATTTCAATTTTGTTCCATTGGTCTATCCATCTACTTTTGTACCAGTACCAGGCTTTTTTGATACAGCTGCCCTGTACTATATCTTGAAATCTGGTATTGTGATATCTCCAGCTTTTTCTTATATAAGATTGTTTTAGCTATTCTGGGTTTCCTGAGTTTCCTTATGAATTTTAGCATCATTTTTTTTTCTATATTTGAGAAGAATATCCTTGGTATTTTGATTGGTATTATATTGAATCTGTAAATTTCTTTCTGTTTTGATGATATTGATTCTTCTAATCCATGAACATGGAAAATTTTTTCATTTTTTGTTATATTCTTCTATTTCTTCCTTTAATGTTTTGTAATTCTCATTGTAGAAATTTTTGATATCCTCAGTTAAATTTATTCCAAGGTATTTGATTTTTTTGTCCCTATTGTGAATGGGATTGATCTTGGAAGTTCTTTCTCAGCTGTTGCATTGTCTGTGTATACAAAAACTGTTGATTTTTGTGTTGATTTTATATCATGCCATATTACCAAACTCTTCTTTTTGTTTCAATAGTCTCTTAGTGGAATTCTTTGGATCCCCTATAAATAAAATCATGTCATCTGAAGATAGGGATAATTTGATTTCCTCCTTTCCATTTTTATCTCCTTAGTTTCTTTTTCTTGCCTGTTGGCTCTGATGAAAGTCCTGGCCACACCCTGAACCCTCCCACACAGCCTCAGTGTTTTCACAGTCCTGGCATATAAGCCTCCCACAAACAGGATCATCCAGCCTCCTGTCTCACTTCACTCCGGAGCTTGTGTTGAAGTTCTCGGGTGCTGGGGTCCTGAGTTGTGTGTGTCCACACCCTCCAAATAGGTCCACAGTGTCCCTTTACTTTATGTGGATTTTCCTCTGCCATTTTTAATCTTCCTCTTCTCTCAGACTGCACTCTCTCCACTTTTTTAAAACTATCTTCTAGACTAGAGCAGGAAGCTCCCTCCCTATTCTGCCATCTTAGTCCCTCTCCCCATATTCAGAATTCAGTTACACAGGATTTTATTTTTTTTTAGTGATATTTTTAATTTGAGAGAAAAACATACATACACACACCACACACACACACACAGAGAGAGAGAGAGAGAGAGAGAGAGAGGGACAGAGAGAGAGAGAGAGAGCTCCCATAACTGATTTACTCCCCAAATGCCTGCAATGGCCAGGGCTGGAGACAGACTGTGACTGGAACCAGGAGCTGAGAACAATCCAGATCTCTCATTTGAGTGACAGGAGCCCGATTACTTGAGCCATCACCACAACCTCCCAGGGTCTGCATTAGCAGGAAGTTTGTGTCAGAAATTGGAGCCAATAATCTAACCTAGGTATTCTGAGGTGGGACGCAGGTGTCTTAAGATCAAACACCTACCCTTCATTGGGTTCACCTACCCTTCATTGGGTTCTTCTTCTTCTTCTTCTTCTTCTTCTTCCTCTTCCTCTTCCTCTCTTCGTAATTGATTTATTCTGCCCTCGTGTTACACAGGCAGAGTTAGACAGTGAGAGAGATTGAGAAAGGTCTTCCTTTTTCTGTTGGTTCACCCACCAAGTGACTGCTACGGCCAGCGTGCTGTGGCCGGTGTACTGCGCCAATCCAAAGCCAGGAGACAGGTGCTTCCTCCTGGTGTCCCATGCGGGCGCAGGGCCCAGAGACCTGGGCCATCCTCCACTGCCCTCCCGGGCCACAGCAGAGAGATGGACTGGAAGAGGAGCAACCGGGGAAGAATCCGGCGCCCCGACCAGGACTAGAACCTGGGGTGCCGGTGCCACAGGCAGAGGATTAGCCTAGTGAGCTGCGGCGCTGGCTCATTGGGTTCTTAAATTTTCATAAAATGAAGTCTTTATCGTAACATTTTGTTGATTTGTTGATAAAAGGGATTGAGCACTTTTAGTGTAGACTGAATACTGTGATTTGAAAAAGAAATATTTAAAAATTTGAATGTTTCAGTGGTAACTCTTTTTTCTTTGCCTTTATTTTTTCTTTAGTTTACAACAAAGTATATTAAGATCCCATTTCAAGGTAAGCTGTCTTATGACCTTCCCTTTTCACTGTAATTTTGATTATATAATGGTTAGAAAAATTCTGAAGTTGTTTTGCAGCCAGTTTTCCATATATTTTTCAGTATTGAATTTAAGTAAAAGTAACAGTTTAATATGTGTTTCTTTTTCACTTAACATTTTTAGTAGCTCCTTAAGGGAGTTAAATATTCTACAATACTGAAAATAATTACTTCGGTTTAATGGCTATAAATTAAATACTATTAATGGACTGAATTCTTGGGATTAACAGAAGTTTTTACATAAGAATATTTTTGGCATTTATAAATTGGATGAAAATAGGAATTATAAGGAAAGAAGTAGTAGGAAATATTCTAGTATTAAAAACATGTAAGATGTTTTTGCAGAGTATTACCCATTTTTATGCCATTTTTTATCTGAGTAAGGTAAAGTAGACTGAAAAATGTACCTGAAACTTATTGGGACTCAGGATATTTTCTTATTCTTTCTTGAACTAAAAACCTTTCAGAATAAATAATGACTCTGAGAAAACTAAATCATAAATAATAGTGAATAATCTCTCTAGAGTATGAAATATAAAATGAATGCGTACAAATAGAACTTCACTTATGAACTAGGGAACAAGAAGCTTCTATTGCAAGATTAACGATGTGCTCAAAGTAACTTTACTTGAATCCCACTGATACTTCATGTACAGAATCCAGAAGTACATGTTATGATAATGAACCTAATAATTGGATTATCATCTAGGAGGTGTAAAAATATAAGGTATATAATAAATATGTTGATAGTCTTTATTAGGAAATTTTAATAAATTTCTACCATAGCTATTTAGAAGAAACAAATAAGGGTTGGCATTTTGGTGTAACTGGTTAAGCTACCATCTGCAACTCCAACATCCCATATGGGCACTGATTCGAGTCCTGGCTGCTCCACCTCCAATCCAGCTCTCTGCTAATACACCTGGGAAAGCAGTGGAAGATGGCCCAAGTACTTGGTCCTTAGCACACATATGTAAGACCCAGATGGAGCTCCTGGCCCCTGGCTTCTGCCTGGCCAAGCCCTGGCTATTGTGGCCCTTTGGGGAGTGAACCAGCAGATGGAAGATCTCTCTCTGTTTCTCCCTTTTTTTCTCTGTACCTTTACCTTTCAAATAAATAAAATAAATCTTTAAAAAAAGAAGCAAATAAAGACATGTGATTTTAAAATAAAATAATAATTTCAGAAAAGATATTGCTACAATCTGTAAAGATCTGGGTAAGAGGGAGAGAGCTACTTCTCAAATTATTGTTGAACAAGCATAAAAATTGTATTTTATATTTTCTTTTTTTTTTAAGATTTTTATTTATTTATTTGAACGTCAGAGTTACACAGAGAGAGGAGAGGCAGAGGAAACACAGAGAGAGAAAGGTCTTCCATCTGGTGGTTCACTCCCCAGTTGGCTGCAATGGCCAGAGCTGCGCCAATCCAAAGCCAGGAGGCAGGAGCTTCTTCCAGGTCTCCCACGTGGGTGCAGGGGTCCAAGGACTTGGGCCATCTTCTACTGCTTTTCCAGGCCATAGCAGAGAGCTTGATTGAAAGTGGAGTAACTGGGTCTCGAACTGGCGCACATATGGGATGCCGGTGCTTCAGGCCAGGGCTTTAACCTGCTGTACCACAGCGCCAGCCCCAATAATTTACATTTTCATAATTAGTATTTGTACTTTGTTTAAAATATTGCTTATGTTATAATTTTTCTATTCCCAATGATTTTTTTAAACATTTAAGTAGATGACCCTGATTTTTTAAAAAGATTTATTTATTTATTTGAAAGAGTTACTCAGAGAGAGAAGGAAAGGCAGAGAGGGAGGTCTTCCTTCCGCTGGTTCACTCTCCGATTAGCTGCAATGACCAGAGCTATGCCGATTTGAAGCCAGGAGCCAGGAGCTTCTTCTGGGTCTCCCATGAAGGTGCATGGGCCCAGGGACTTGGGCCACCTTCCACTGCTTTCCCAGGCCATAGCAGAGCTGGATTGGAAGTGGAACAGCCAGTACTTGAACCAGCACCCATAAGGGATGCTGGCACTTCAGGTGGTGGCTTTACCCGCTACACCACAGTGCTGGCCCCCTAATGATTTAAAAAAATATATATTTTGTTTATTCGGAAAGCAGAGAGAGGGAAAGACAGAGAGAGAAAGATTTTCCATCTGCTGATTCACACCCCAAATGGCTGCAATGGCAGTGGCCCCAAGCCAGGAGTCTGGAACTCCATCCTGGTAACCCATGTGGGTGGCAGAGGCCATCTTTTTCTGCTTTACCAGACACTTCAGCAAGTAATTGGATCAGAAGCAGAGCACATGGGTCTCAAACCTGCACTTTAGATACAGTATGCTGATGTTGCACATGCGCTTCACTCCCCTTCCCCCCAGCACTGATTTTTAAAAGATAGCTTTAATTACAAATTGTGGAAAAATTACTCTTTTTCATTGTAGTAGGCTTGTAGTTTTATAATGGAAGAGGAAAGTATTAGTTTTCTTGGCCATATCTTGACGACACTAAATTTCAATATGTAAAAATCTTTTTAAAACAAGGCATACCTATAAAAAGTTTTATAGCTGTGGACCCAGGCCTCTAAATGTTCACTTTTTTCTCTTGCAATTGAAGGCAAATTGATTTATTCATGTTTATATTAGCTATTATTTGTGTTTCTTAGTGTCTTAAAGAAGATATTTTTCTTTCATATAGAAGAAATCCAGAGATAGACTGAATCAATCAGTGTTTCTTTGGTCATCACGGGCTCAAACTCTTTTCCCTTTCTACTGTATGATCCTTGACACATAACTTTCATCCTCACATTTGGCTCATGGCCAACTATGTTGCTCATAGTTCATTATCAGTGTTTCAGGCAGGGAGCAAGAAGAAGGGGGAAATGCTTAAAAAAGGTAGAGCACGTGTTACCTGTGTGTTCCCCTTTTAAGGAGCCTTTTTGGATGTGCGTGACACTTGACCTCTTTACATTTTATTAGCTAACATAGTCATATGACTGCATGCCTATTTGAAGAGAAATCTGGAAAATAAAGTATTTAAATGCTGGAAATCTTGCTTCCCTACGTACAAGTAGGATTCTTTTACTAAGAAAGAAGGAATGGAAAAGTGAGTAGGCAACTCCTACTATCACTATCTGCCATATCCCTGGAACATAATGAACTACATATTGGGGGTAAATTTGGTAAGGTGTACATTTTTCTCAGGAGCATGTTAAATCTTACTTCCAGCCCCAATCTTCCATAAAAGAGAAAGCAATCCTTCTAAAGAAAATTCAGGACAGTTAGATTTAGTAGTATTCTGTAGGTTTCACAGAAATAGTTTCAAATGTACCTGTAGAGCTGAGAGGTGGGTGCATGAGGAAGAAATATTGAGCAGTTTTTCTAGAGTCTTCACCTCTAATTTCTACAATTTGATCTGTTTTTGCTGCCAGTTTTAGTGATAGCTTTTAGAATGGGGAATAGAATGGTTGTTGTGGAAACATTAAGATTAATGGTTAATATGCTGGTATTTGCTCATTGTAAAATACTTCCAGACTTTAATATTCATATAAATTACTCAGAAGTGTGTGTGGCTATTAAACTGATATTGTGATTCAGTAGATAGAGGGGGTGGAGCCTGATACTCAGCATTTCTGACAAGCTCCCAGGTCACACTAATGCCATAGCCTGACGCCTACACTTTGAGTGTCAAGATCTCAGGAGTTAATGCAGCAGGAATACTACTAAATTACTTTTCCTTCTTTCCTTTTAGTTTTCTAAAATTTCTAAAAATTTATTTGGGTCACGCATACCCACACATACACAGATACATGCACACAGCCCCCATCTGCTGATTCACTCCTCAGATACCCACAATGGTTAAGGCTGGGAAGGCCTGAAGCCAGGATCCAGAAACTCAACCCAGGTTTCCTACATGGGTTATGGGAACCCAGTTACTTGAGTCATCATTACTGCCTCACAGGGTCTTCATTAACAGGAAGTTGGAAATCTGGCACCAGAGCTGGGCATCACACATATGTACTCTGATATGGGCTGTGGTGTCTTAATGTGAGTCTTAACTGCTAAGCATAACACTTGCACCTATACTTGTTATCTTTATTTTTTTGAATTAAAAAAGAAAAAAAAATTGTCAGGGGAGTTTCCTTTAGCTCAATGAGAGAGAAAGACTGAGAATTTAGAGCAATTAGTTAGAAATTTGGAGACATGGAAATGGAAAAATTTAAAAAAAGAAGTATCTTAGACCATTCTGAACCTCATGTTATTTTTGAGAATATTTGTGTGTGTGTGTGTGTGTGTGTGTATGTGTGTTTGATGTCCTGAGGAAAATTTTCTTTTTTTTTAACTTTTATTTAATTAATATAAATTAACAAAGTATAACTTTTGGATTATAGCAGCTTTCCCCCCCATAACCTCCCTCCCACCCGCAACCATCCCATCTCCCACTCCCTCTCCCATCCCATTCACATCAAGATTCATTTTCAATTTTCTTTATATACAGAAGATCAATTTAGTATATACTAAGTAATGATTTCAACAGTTTTCACCCACACAGAAACACAATGTGAAAAATACTGTTTGAGTACTAGTTATACCATTAATTCACATAGTATAATGCATTAAGGACAGAGATCCTACATTGGGAGTAGGTGCACAGTGACACCTGTTGTTGATTTAATAATTGACACTCTTATTTATGGTATAGGGTAATTACCCTAGGCTCTTGTCATGAGCTGCCAAGGCTATTGAAGCCTCTTTAGTTCACCAACTCCGATCTTATGTAGACAAGGTCATAGTCAAAGTGGAAGTTCTCTCCTCCCTTCAGAGAAAGGTACCTCCTTCTTTGATGGCCTGTTCTTTCCACTGGGATCCCACTAAGAGAGATATTTCATTTAGTTTTTTTTTTTTTTCAGAGTGTCATGGCTTTCCATGCCTGTAATACTCTCATGGGCTGTTCAGCCAGATCTGAATGCCTTAAGGGCTGATTCTGAGGCCAGAGTGCTGTTTAGGACATCTGCCATTCTAGGAGTCTGCTGTGTATCCCACTTCCCATGTTGGATTGTTCTCTCCTTTTTAATTTTATCAGTTAGTATTAGCAGACACTAGTCTTATTTGTGATCCCTTTGACTCTTAGTCCTATAATTATGATCAATTATGAACTGAAATTGATCACTTGGACTAGTAAGATGGCATTGGTACATGCCACCTTGATGGGATTGAATTGGAATTCCCTGGCTCGTTTCTAACTCTACCATTAGGGTAAGTCAAGTGAGCATGTGCCGAACTGTACATCTCCTCCCTCTCTTATTCCCACTCCTATATTTAACAGAGATCACTTTTCAGTTAAGTTTAAACACCTTAGAATAATTGTGTGTTAATTAAAGAGTTCAACCAATGGTATTAAGTAGAACAAAATAAATACTAAAAGGAATAAAATAGTAAGTTGTTCCTCGACAGTCAGGACAAGGGCTGATCAAGTCATTGTTTCTCATAGTGTCCATTTCACTTCAGTAGGTTTCCTTTTTAGGTGCTCAGTTAGTTGTCACCGACCAGGGAGAACATATGATATTTATCTCTTTGGGACTTGCTTATTTCACTCAGCATGATGTTTTCCAGATTCCTCCATTTTGTTGCAAATGACCGGATTTCATTGTTTTTGACTGCTGTATAGTATTCTATAGAGCACATGTCCCATAATTTCTTTATCCAGTCTTCTGTTGATGGACATTTAGGTTGATTCCATGTCTTCGCTATTGTGAATTGAGCTGCAGTAGACATTGAGGTGCAGACAACTCTTTTATTTGCCAGTTTAATTTCTTTTGGGTAAATTCCAAGGAGTGTGATGGCTGGGTTGTATGGTAGGGTTATATTAAGGTTTCTGAGGAATATCCAAGCTGACTTCCATAGTGGCTTTACCTGTTTGCATTCCCATCAACAGTGGGTTAGCATCCATTTTTCCCCACATCCTCACCAGCATCTGTTGTTGGTAGATTTCAGTAGTGGTGTATCTTTATTCTGGAATTAAGATGTTTTGCAAGAAGAAAGATGGGAAGAAATTGGCCTTTGACAGTATTTTGAGCCTTGGTTTATATTATTGACCAAGATGAGTAAGAAGAACTATAAATATATAATTTTCTCCTAAATTTTATGCTTAGTTTTCTGCATTGATAGTCATCCCATTCCCCCAATCTCCACCCCCGTTTGCTAGCAGAATTCCCGTGGACAAATCTCGCTGGACAAGGTTTCTATGTTATGAAAATTTCATCTCACGTTTTCCTTTTCTGTATAGAATTGAAATCATATAGTGAGAGACTAAATCTCTTTAATAGTTATTTAGCTCTTCCTAATTTGTAATGTGATTTTTTAAAGCTGTAATGATGTTGCTTGGGCTATTTCAGCTAAATTAGTGAAGTTCATTGGAAATATATCTTTGAAAAATTTTGCATATAATTCTTTTAGAAAGCTATAGAATATTAAGAAGTGTCATATAGTACATAAGAAATGTATTCTTAAGTACATTTAGTAGATTGATTTTTAAATTGCTATCTTTTGTTTCAGTGTCCCTGAATGAGGTTTCATTGCTAGTGGATACCAGACATTTAAAGAGGTTTGGATTGTGGAAAAGTAAGGATGAGGACCACAGTAAAAGGAATCATGCTATCCTTTTCCTCTGGGTCTCTTCAGATTACCTTCAAGAAATTCAGACCCAGTTAGAAAATTCTATATTAAGCCAGCAATGTGAGTATAAAATGATTTCTAAATTTCAGGATAACCTGATATGTCTAAAAAATAAAGTAGTTTGTGTCTAAAATAACTTAACAGTATAATTATTTCATTGAGTTAAAAATAATTTTATCCCTTAACATTATATTGTAGATCTTAGGAAAGCTCATGCAAATATATAGTATGAGAAAACTGCATGTATTTCCAAAAATTTCTTGCACCAAAATAAACTTACCTTTTAATTTCCTTTTTATGAAGTACTCTCATATAAGATAAATTATTTCATCAATTCCTACAGTTTTTCCTGGTAATTTTATTCAATGGAGTGAAATTATCTTCTATAATAAATGTTGTTTAAAAAATCTTAAATGTTGTTTACCTTGGAAACAAAAAAGCTCCTGTGTTCTTAAAACAAAACTAAAGAGAGATACCTCATGTTTAATTCACTTGTCAGCATCCCTGGCTACCTTTCTTATGAGTAACTTACCTTTCTTTCCTAATCAACCGTGACAGAGTTAATTGGTGGTAAAGTGAAATAAAATCTAGAAATCTTTACCTTTACCATTTTCTTTAGTTTCTAAAAAAAATCAGCTTACTTATGTATCATTACTTGTAAGACTCATTGAATACTTTTCTGCATGTACCCATAAGATGTTTCTGCATATATGCATCTTGAAGTATTTCCCACCTATTTTAGTTTCTAACTTCTTTTTAATGTTTTTTTTTTTTTTTAAAGATTTATTTATTTGAAAGAGTTACAGAGAGAGGGGGAGACAGACAGACAGGGTGATCTTCCATCTGCTGGTTCACTCCCCAGATGACTGCAACAGCAAAGGCTGGGGCATGCTGAAGCCAGGAGCCAGGAATTTCATCTGGGACTCCCACATGGGTGGCAGGGACCCAAGTACTCGGGCCATCTTTTGCTGCTTTTCCAGGTCATCATCAGGGAGCTGGATTTGAAATGGAGCATCTGGGACCTGAACCATTGCCCATATAGGATGTCAGTCACAGGCGGTCTCTTTACCTACTATGCCACAATGCTGGTGCACGAGTTTCTAGCTTCTTAAAGGAATCTATTTTAGAACTGGGTAAATCAGTTTAGTAAGATTCTTTCTTACCTCTTTGATATTTTTACCTTCTTCCCCCATTCTCTTACATATTAAAAATGTTACATAGTAAATTAATTTTATACCTTCTTTTCTTGTAATTACTTTCAGTGGAAAAAATCATGATTTAATAGCAAAGAGTAGGGGGGAATATAAAGAGTCACTTATATACTCATTGTAAGGAGAAATAATTTTTTTAAAAGATTTATTTATTTATTTGAAAGGCAGAATTGCAGAGAGGCAGAGGGACAGGGAGGGAGGATGGGAGGGAGAAGAGAGAAAGAGAAAGAGAGAGAGAATCTTCCATCTGCTTTTTCACTCTTCAAATGGCCACAATAGCTGGACCATCTTCCACTGCTTTCCCAGACGTATTAGCAGGGAGGTGGATTGGAGATGGAGCAGCCAGGATTTGAACTGGCATCCATATGGGATTTTGGTACTGCAGGTGGTGGCTTTACCTGCTATGCCACAACACCTGCCCAGAGAGAATGTTTTTTGAGAGTATGGCTGAGATGGTGGGTGAAAAAAAATAAAAGAGGCATTTTAATTGAAATACTTTATTTGATACATTTGATTTATGGAGGAGACTAGAGAAAAGTAATTGCTGAATTTTCATTTATTCATAACATTTATCAACAGTGTTTTCTAGGCTGGCACCGTGGCTCACTAGGCTAATCCTCCGCCTGCGGCACCTGCATCCTGGGTTCTAGTCCCGGTTAGGGTACCGGATTCTGTCCAGTTGCTCCTCTTCCAGTAGCCCGGTCAGGCAGTGGAGGATGGCCCAAGTGCTTGGGCCCTGCACCGGCATGGGAAACCAGGAGGAAGCACCTGGCTCCTGGCTTCAGATCCACGCAGCACTGGCCATAGCGTCCATTTTGGGGGTAAACCAACGGAAGGAAGACCTTTCTCTCTGTCTGTCCTTCTCACTGTCTAACTCTGCCTGTCAAACAAACAAACAAACAAACAAAAAACAGTATTTTCTAGCGCTTACTAAATGCTGCACACGGGAGAAATAGCAGTGAACAACCTGTGAAGTTTCCATTCTAGTGTAGTAAACAGGTGTCTAAAAATTGTGAGCTTGGGCTCTAGGTTATTAATGGCTTATCTGGGGATTTTAATTTGCCTGGGTTATTACCTAACATACAAAATACTTTGATAGGTTATCTGCCAACCTTACTGTTAATGATGATTAGATTATTTTAATTATAATCGTGAGAAGTTTATTGATTAAAAATTGTTTCTTTTTTTCCATAGCAAAATCCAGTGAATTCATTTTCCTTGAAATACACAATCCTATTTCACAAAAAGAAGAATTGCAACTGAAAGATATTATGACAGAAATTAGTACAACCAATGGAGAAGTAGAGCTTTCTTATCCATTGTCTTGGGTTCAGGCACTTCCTTTGTTTCAGAATCTCTCTTCAAAAGAAAGTTCTTTTATTCATTATTATTGTGCTTCAACTTGTTCTTTACCTGCTGCTGCTACCGAGGCAATGAAGATGAAATCAGTATCCCAGGTTAGCATATGGTTAATAAATTTAGGAGGGGGTGGGAAAGTAAATCTTTCACTGATATTAGGCTGATATAATAATGCTGTGTTTTTCCAAAAGAACACAGAAACTAACTCGAAATAACTCTAGTGACAAAGATGAACAAAATTAATAATAGAAACATATGAATATAATGCAAGAATAAAATAAATATTGAAGATTCTATATTGGTACAGATAGATAATTGAGTTACTGAATGAGTGAATAAATAATAAATGGTACTTAAGGGACAATTCTTCATTAAAAAAGGGATCTAATTAATTAAATAAAAGGCACTAATATATAAAACTACTTCTAGGGGCCAACATTTTGGTATAGCAGGTAAAGCCATTGCCTGCAATGCCAGCATTCCATATGGGTGCTGGTTCAAGTTTCAGTTGCTCCACTTCTGATCCAGCTCCCTGCTAATGCTCCTGGGAAAGCAGTGGAAGATGACCCAAGTGCTTGGGCCCCTGCACCCAAATGGGAGACCTGGAAAAAGCTCCTGGTTCCTGGCTTTGGCCTGGACCAGCCTCTACTGTTGCAGCCATTTGTGGAGTGAACCAGTAGATGGGTGGAAGATCTCTCTCTCTGTCTTCTCACCCTTAACCCACTCCCCCACCCCCGTAACTCTGTCTTTCAAATAAATAAATAAATAAATAAATAATCTTTAAAAAGGAATGATGAACACGACTAGAACACAATACAACAGAAATACAATACAAATGCTTTGCAGTTTGGAGTTTGAATTTTTGGACTAGGGATGCTCAAGTGTTATGTTTATTTTTTTTAATTTTTTTACAGGCAGAGTGGACAGTGAGAGAGAGAGAGACAGAGAGAAAGGTCTTCCTTTTGCTGTTGGTTCACCCTCCAATGGCTGCCGCGGCTGGCGCGCTGCAGCTGGCGCGCTGCGCTGATCCGATGGCAGGAGCCAGGTGCTTCTCCTGGTCTCCCATGGGGTGCAGGGCCCAAGCACTTGGGCCATCCTCCACTGCACTCCCTGGTCACAGCAGAGAGCTGGCCTGGAAGGGGGGCAACCAGGACAGAATATGGCGGGCGCTCTGACCGGGACTAGAACCCGGTGTGCCGGCGCCGCAAGGCAGAGGATTAGCCTAGTGAGCCGCGGCGCCGGCGATGCTCAAGTTTTAAAGTCTATTAAAATATTAAAAAATCCAAAAATCTCCAAAATCTGAAACACTTCTTGTCCTAAACATTTTGAATAAATGATTCTCATCTTGTTTTTATGATTCTTGTGGGTAAGGTCCACTGATGGACACTAAATTCAATGGCTGAAAATTTGAGGAGAAACAAGGATATATGCATAATCTTGAAGTCTGTTGCTCAAAATATTTATTAATTACAAAGATAAAAGTAGTAACTCTTCAATGGAAAAGCCTAGCAGACATTACCGTAACTAACTGATCAACGTTACCACCATTGGTACTAAGACTAGTCAGCATAATGTACCCCTTGATACCATGCATGGATAAGGGCACATTATTTCTATGGTATTCTTCCCAATAGTGTATGACTTCAGCTTAATCATGAGAAAAGTGAGACAAACGCAGCTACAAAATAATCAACTAATATTCTTAAGCAGTATTAAGGTCATGAAAGACAAGAAAAGACAGGAGTTGGAGAATCCTGAATCAGAAAAAGGGTATTGGTGGAAAAACAAGTTAAATCATACTAAAGACTGAATTCTGTTAATGGTATTCTATTGATGTTAATTTCTTAGTTTTGATAATTGTACCATGGTTATATGTAATATTAAGATTAGGGGAATTTGAGGTTTTTTTTAATTGCAATTCTTCTATAAGTCTATAAAATTATCTTGAAACAATAGTAAATTAGATACATATTATGCTTCTTTTTATGAATTGATAATTATTTACATGTAGTTTGTGTATCTCTGCCAAAAACTTCTAGAAAGAAAGTTGTTTATTAAGTAACTATGGCATATACACAAATTCACATATGAGTATACGCACACAGGTTTGATCTGGAGCTAACCTTTTACTTAAAAGCTTTTACAAAGCTATATTAGGCCAGCACTGTGGCTCAATAGGCTAATCCTCCGCCTTGCGGTGCTGGCACACTGGGTTCTAGTCCTGGTCGGGGTGCCGGATGCTGTCCTGGTTTCTCGTCTTCCAGCCCAGCTCTCTGCTGTGGTCGGGGAGTGCAGTGGAGGATGGCCCAAGTGCTTGGGCCCTGCACCTGCATGGGAGACCAGGAGAAGCACCTGGCTCCTGGCTTCGGATCAGCGTGGTGCACCAGCCGCAGGGTGCAGCGGCCATTGTGGGGTAAAGGAAGACCTTTTTCTCTGTCTCTCTCTCTCTCACTGTCTAACTCTGCCTGTCAAAATAAATAAATAAATAAATAAATAAATAAATAAATAAATAAATAAATGAAAAAAGAAAGCTATATTAGTTCTACTCAGCCATAAGAAATAATAAAATCCTGTCTCTTACAACAAAGTAGAGGCAGCTGGAAACAATTATACTTAGTGAAATAAGCCAATTCCAAAAAGACAAATACCATATATTTTCCTAATCTGTGGTAACTAATAGAGTATAAAAAATATAATGTAAAGGAATGAAATTGGCATTTTGAGATTCAATGATTGTTCATAGCCCTTGCCTCTACTACTGTTGTGAAACTGTATTTTTCTTCTTATTATTTGTTGAACTGTTTACATAGTGTAGGGTTAATCTAATGAGTATAAAGTAAACTGAAATTAGATCATTGTAAAAATTAAGAGAGAAATTAGGAAAAATGTGGAAAGGTGGGAGTGTAGGTAAGAGGGAGGGTAGGATGGGAAGTATCACTATGTTTCTAAATCTGTGTACATGAAATACATGAAATTTGTATACCTTAAGTAAAATTTAAAAAACAAATCTACATCAGTGTAAAATGAGGCACAAGACTTCATTACTATCTTTGTTTAGCATAATATTATAAAAATTTTGCCCTATAATTATATTGTGTATACAAGTTGGTATCTTTTTCATTTTAATGAGTATCAGTTTATATTATAAACTAAGACTGTTAATTTTAAATTTCATTTTTTCCTACTTTCTGTCACCTGTTTTGATTATTATGAACTACAAAATTATTTTTTTCTTTTTTAAGATTTTATTTATTTTCTTGAGAGGTAGAGCTACAGGCAGAGAGAGGGAGAGACAGAGAGAAAGATCTTCCATCCACTGGTTTACTTCCTAAACGGCTGCAATGGCCGGAGCCAGGCCAATCCGAAGCTGGGGGCCAGGATCTTCTGGGTCTCTCACATGAGTGCAGGGGCACAAGCCCTTGTGCAATCTTCCATTGCCTTCCCAGGCCATAGGCAGAGAACTAGATCAGAAGAGGAGCAGCCGAGACTAGAACCTTCATCCACATGGGATGCTGGTACCCAAGGCAAGGCTTAGCCTACTGTGCCACATTGCCAGTCCTGCAAAATTCTTGATTATAGAGCTCATTTCTGGAAGTAGCATTTCACTTTAAACTTTGATCAATGTATACACAATATGTTTTAATCATAAGTACTATAATATTCTCCACCCCCTTATCCATTATTCTTCTTTTTACAGTTTCAGTTATAAATGGTCAGCCATGATCTGAAACGATTGAGTTGAAAATTCCAAACATTAATCATTTGAGTTTTAAATTTCGTGCTTTTCTGACTAATGTGATAAGATCGTGTATTATCCAGCTTTGTCCTTCCTGGAATATGAATTGTTCCTTTGTCCTGTGTATCTATACTATATATACTACCCACTTGTTAGCCACTTAATTGTTTTAGTTATCAAATGCACTGTTGCTGTATTGCAGTGCTTGTTTTCAAGTACCCTTATTTTACTGTATAATAACCCCAAAGTGTTAGAGGAATTGTGCTGGGAATTTGGGTATGCCAAAGGAAAGCTATAACATGCTTTTTTTTCAGAAAACTTTTATTTAACAAATATAAATTTCGAAAGTACAACTTTTGGATTATAGAGGTTTTTCTCCCCATACCCACCCTCCCACCCAAAAACCATCCCATCTCCTACTCCCTCTCCCATCCCATTCTTCATTAAGATTCATTTTTTTAAAAGAATTTTATTTTATTTTATTTTTTGACAGGCAGAGTTAGACAGTGAGAGAGACAGAGAGAAAGGTCTTCCTTTTTCCGTTGGTTCACCCCCCAAGTGGCCGCTATGGCTAGCGCGTTGCGGCCAGCGCACTGCGCTGATCCGAAGCCAGGAGCCAGGTGCTTCCTCCTGGTCTCCCATGTGGGTGCAGGACCCAAGGACCTGGGCCATCCTCCACTGCCTTCCCGGGCCACAGCAGAGAGCTGGACTGTAAGAGGAGCAACTGGGACAGAATCCGGCGCCCCAACCGGGGCTAGAACCCTGTGTGCCGGTGCCGCAGGTGGAGGACTAGCCTAGTGAGCTGCGGCACCAGCCAAGATTCATTTTTAATTCTCTTTATATACAGAAGATCACCTTAGTATATACTAAGTAAAGATTTCAACAGTTTGCACCCACCCAGCCACACAAAGCATAAAGTACTGTTTGAATACTATTTTTACTGTTAATTCTCATAGTACAACACATTAAGGACAGGAATCCTACATGGAAAGTAAGTGCACAGTGTCTCCTGTTATAACACGCTTTCTTAAGTGAAAAGGTAGAAGTTCTTGACTTATTAAGGAAAGGTAAATGATATGTTAGGGTTGCTGAGAATCTTCTACCTGATACTGTGAACAGGAAAAAGAAATTTGTATTACTTTTGCTGTCACACCTCAAATTACAGAAACCTCTACCACTATGCGTATTAATTGCTTAATTAGGATGGAAAAAGTATTAAATTATAGAATTTGATACTCTCCATGGTTTCAGGCATCCTCTGAGGGTCTAGGAATGTATCCCCTGTAGATCAAGAAAAACTATGTGTTTTGGTTTGATTATATCTTTATGGAAATTCTAAAAGTGTGTGTGTGTGTATGTGTGTGTGTATATATATAATGAACACAGATTTCTCTTATAAGTCTGGTTTTTTAACTTTGTCCTTTTAAATCTTAATATGTTTGTATTTATAAATTTACAAGGAGATATTTTCCTTTGCTGTTTTCTCTCAGCCTTCAAATACAGATGCCACCAAACCTACCTACACCTTCGTGCAGAAGCAAAGTAGTGGTTGCTACTCACTATCCATCACATCTAACCCAGATGAAGAATGGCGAGAAGTCAGGCAAACTGGACCTGTTCAGAAGTGTGTACTGTGTCATATTCTGTTAGTAATAGGCGGGCATAGTTTTCACTCATGTTGCTGCTTTTATGTTTACCTTTTGAAATGCTTTTGGGTTTAGTTTCATGTTAATGGCTAGTAATGGAAGTAATGTTTTTAACTGATGATAAGCAAAGAAATTCATTAAGTAAGCAGTAGGTGCCATTGCATTTAATCTTATGTCATTAAGATAGAAAAGGAAGCCAAAAATGTCATATTTATTGTGAATAAGGTATTTGTGAAAATATTTACTTGAGTAGCAATATATGGTTTTGAAGATTATTCTACATTTGCATATATGGTAAGGTAAATGAAATTGTGTACTAAAGTATGCTAGGTTTGAGGTATTTTGAGTTTTTTCATAAGTTCCTTCTTTGTTCATATTTTATCTTTTATGTCTTTTCATGATGGTAAGGCAGAATAGAGTATGTGTGTTTGAAGTTATTTCTCTACCTCCATGTGATTCTTTTTCTCTTTTTAAAAAAGTAGTTAAAAGCATAAGAAAGTAAAAATCAATGAGATGGTAAATATATTTTAGCATTCAAATTCTTGATTTTCAGGGTTAGGCATTTAGTCTGGTGTTTAAGACACCAGTTAGGGCACCCACATTCCCCGTCCGAAAGCCCGGCTTCAACTCCTAGCTCTGGCTCTTGATTACTAGCTTCCTGCTGATGCAGATTCTGAGAGGCACTGGTGATAGCTCAAGGCGTGAGGTTCCTGCCATCCGCTTTGGGAGCATTGGAATGAGTTCCTTGCTCCTGGCTTCAGTCTTCCCCACTCCCCAGCTGTGCTGGGCATTTGGGGGAGCACTCTCCAACCAACAGATGGGGGAGCACTCTCTATTTTACTGGAAGACTCTTAGGTTCTTGAACCTTCTGCTGGGAGGAGTACCTTTTACACCATTGTTAACTAGCTCATCAAGTACCACCTTGTCTATTTAAAAAAGTTTATAGCCAGCAATTCACATCTGGTCTTATTTCTAAAATTTTAAGAGACAGTGCCAGAAGGAAGTTGCATAAAAAATTAGTTGTCATCTATATTATTCTCTGGTTGTGATCTAATTTTTCACTGTCATTTTGTTCCTTTTAAGTTTATGTTGTAAGCACTTTCTTACAGGAAACTTACCTCCCCAGCTCCCATATTATTTCCTTATTGCCTGGCTATTGGTGTAGACTGGCCACGAAGAGAGAATAAATTTTGTCTGCTGACTTTTCTTTTTAAAATTTTCATTTAAAAGAGAGAGAGAGGGAGTGAGAGTTACTTGTCTTCCATTTGCTGTTTCATTCCTTGAATGCTGGCAACAGCTGTCCTGGGCCAGGCCAAAGCCGGGAGTCTGGAGCTCTACCTGGGTGCAGGGACTCACCTACTTGAGCCATCATCATGGTTCCAGGATGTGTATTAGTAAGAAATTAGAATTGGAAGCACAAGGAAGACTTGAACCCAGGCACTCCAACATGGAATGTGGCATCTCAAGCAATGTCTTATGTGAGAATAAGATAAAATATAATTGCTTGTGTTGTCAGATATTTTTTATTCTGTTGATTTTAGTTATAGAATACTACTATGTAGTTATTATTTCATTTAAGAGATATCTTAGATATTAGAATTGTGAATATCATCAGTATTTTTTAACTTTATTTTTTTTAAGATTGATTGTATATCCTCCACCCCCTACCAAAGGAGGATTAGGAGTAACTAATGAAGATCTGGAGTGTTTAGAAGAAGGAGAGTTTCTTAATGATGTAATAATTGATTTTTACCTTAAGTAAGTACAGTGATAATTGCTCTTCATATTTTTTGTAGGTTTTAGTGTGAAAATTAATGGTTTTGTCTTTGTCTTATTTTGATTCTAGTTAAAAGTAACTTGCTAATACTAACTGATAGAATTAAAAAGGGAGAGAATGATCCAACATGGGAAGCGGGATACACAGCAGACTCCTAAAATGGTAGATGTCCTAAACAGCACTCTAGCCTCAGAATCAGCCCTAAAGGCATTCGGATCTGGCTGAACAGCCCATGAGAGTATTTCAGGCATGGAAAGCCAAGACACTCTGGCAAAAAAAAAAAAAAATCCTAAATGAAAGATCTCTGCAAGTGAGATCCTAGTGGAAAGAATAGGCCATCAAAGAAGGAGGTACCTTTCTCTGAAGGGAGGAGAGAACTTCCACTTTAACTATGACCTTGTCTAAATAAGATCGGAGTTGGTGAACTCAAAAGGCTTCCATAGCTTTGGCAACTCATGACTAGAGCCTCGGGAGATTACTGATGCCATAAACAAGAGTGTCAATTGTTAAGTCAACAACAGTTGTCACTGTGCACTTAATGTGTCCTTAATGTGTTGTCCAATGTGAATTAATGCTATAACTAGTACTCAAACAGTATTTTTCACTTTGTGTCTCTGTGTGGGTACAAACTGTTGAAATCTTTACTTAATATATACTAAATTGATCTTCCGTATATATATATTCATTGAAAATGAATCTTGATGTGAATGGGATGGGAGAGGGAGTGGGAGATGGGATGGTTGTGGGTGGGAGGGAAGTTATGGGGAGGGAAGCCATTGTAATCCATAAGCTGTACTTTGGAAATTTATATTTATTAGATAAAAGTTAAAAAAATAAAAGTAATTTTCTGGGCCTGGCACGGTGGTGAAGCTGGTTAAGCTGAAGTGTGCAGTGCCAGCATCCCATATGGGCACTGGTTTGAGTACTGGCTACTCTACCTTGTTCCATCTTCCTGCTAATGTGCCTCGGAAAGCAACAGAAGATGGCTCTAGTCATTGGGTCCTTACACCCACGTGGAAGACCCGGATGAAGCTCCTGCCTCCTGGATTCAACCTGGCCTAACCCAGGTCATTGTGGCCATTTGGGGAGTGAACCAGCAGATGAAAGACTTCTGTGTCTCTCCTTCTCTCTCTGCAGCTCTGTCTTCCAAATAACTCTTAAGTAACTTGCCCAAGGTTTCAAGATTTGGAATTTTTTTTCTAAATTTTGAAATTTTAAGTTTCATTCATTTATTTCCACAGATGCTATATACTTCAGAGGAGTTGTTGAATTTTTGTGTTTGTTTTTGATTTATACTTATTTGACTACTGTATTATTGTGGTTAAGGAAATACTTAAATAATTACGAATAATTTGGGAACTGAAAGAAATAACTCTATTAAGTTCTCTTTTTAGGATATCTTTAGGATCACTGCTACTTTAAAAATCTATGCTACTTTCCATTAAAAATATTTTCAACTTTTTGTGTAATAAAAGTTGAAAGAATGAATATGAAAACCTTTAAAGCCTTCATAAAAAGGAAATTACTTTCTAATCCTTATTTTATACTGGATCTAAATCTCCAATATGTGATGGAGATGTCTCCTAGTTATTTCATATATTGCTCCCAAACAAAATTTTTTCCCATCTTACTTAAACTTTATTGTTTTACTATTGAAATTCTTAATCCAGTCATTCTACCTCCAAATCTTACATATATACATATGTTATAGATTTAATCTTTAGAAATTCAGTTGGGTCTTTTTATGTCTTCCATGACTCTAACTTTTTGAGTATATGGAATACAGTTATTATCTGTTTGATATCATTGTCTAAAATGCATAATCTAATGTCTGTGTCAATTCTGGGTTGGTTTTCGTTGAGTGATTTTTCTCTTCAGTATGAATATTTTTTAAAAGGTTGTTTTATTTATTTGAGAGGAAGAGTTGCAAAGAGAGAGAAAGGAGAGATAGAGAAGTCTTTCATCAGCTTGTTAGCTCCCCAGTTTGCTGCAAAGGCCAGGGCTGAGCCAGGCTGAAGCCAGAGGCCAGGAGCTTCTTCCAAGTTTCCCACATGGATGGCAAGGCCCCAAGAAGCTGGGCCATCTTCTGTTGCTTTTCCTAGGCCGTTAACAGGGAGCTGTATTGGAAGAGGAACAGCTAAGACATGAATTGGTACCCATATGGATGCTGGCATTGCAGGTGGTGACCTTATCCAATAAGCCACGTGCCAGTTCTGAGTCTTTTTTTTTCTTATTCTTTGCATTTCTGGTAAGTTTTTATTGGATACTAGGCATCTTTGTATTTCTATAAATATGCTTGAATTTCGTTCTGGGACACAAATTGTATAGGAACAATTTAATGCTTAAAAGATGTCATGTTTCTAAGATTTGTTAGATGAGACCAACAAATTAGTCCTTGTTACAGAGGAAAAGTTCTTTGGAAAACTCTACCAAATGCCTTGTGAATTACAAGATTATAGGCACCATTCCTGGTCTACATAAATGTTGGCCTTTTTGGGTAATTTTTCCTCAGCCTTGTGTACTTTTCTTACACACATACCATGAAAAATACTCTTGAGTACTTGAGGCTGACTTTCTGTAGCTATCTGGAGTTCTTTCTATATACAACTTTTTTTCCTTTCCAGTATACTGATCTGCAAACTCTGATCATTTTCAAACCTACATTGACAATTAAGAATCTTAAAGTTTTCTAAGGGTTTAATCATCAAATGATTGAATTACAAGCTTACATTAAAGACTTTTAGTATAGAAATGTAGTAAAGATTTAAAGAGTAGTCAGACTTCAGTTACTAAAGTTTATCTAGATTTATGCAGGAGTGTTACTGTATTACATTTAGTCATGAGATTATTTGATAAATATTTCATTCTACCTTCACTCCTCTGGTTTGTAAGCTCTATGTAGGGCAATGCTTGCTATATATGAGGCATGATATAAGTATTTAACTAACTGAATGAGTTAGTGGGCAATCTGCTTTAAATGGTTTTGATAGAAGTTGAGGTAACTAAAGAACAAATGGGAGGGAGGCAAATATGGTTATTTTCTTAGAACTCTACCTATGAAATACATGAAATATGTTCTGTTTATATTTAAAAATAATAATAATAATAAAATACAAATGGAAACAATGGAATCAGAGGAAACTGTGGGATCCCACTGAATTTAATTGGCTATAAAAACAAAAATTTCCAGAACAAAAAAAATACTTGAGAAAAGTCCAGGTAAGATCTAAAAATAATTTACTTTTGTGGAATTTCTATTTTATAGGTATCTTATATTGGAGAAGGCATCAGATGAACTTGTTGAACGAAGTCACATTTTTAGTAGCTTTTTCTATAAATGCTTGACGAGAAAGGAAAATAATTTAACAGAAGATAATCCAAATCTTTCGTAAGTCAATCTTCTAGCATACTTAAGTTTTAAGAGAAAATGTATTATTTTGATATTCCTCATGAAGTGGCTTTTTAATAGTGTTTCCTACAGTGGTGCTTTACCACTTTTTTATGTTTGCCCTGAGAACCATTCTCACTCTTCCACTGTTCTGCTCCCTGTGACAGGGAAGCTGCGTTTCCAGTTGCATGTCCTGAAGATACTGGAAGTTAGATGGCGAGGAAGAAAGAAGCCAGGCTGTTTCTTCCTTCTGTTTTTGTCCTGGACAGTAATTTTGGCAGTGGCTATATTTCCTCTGTTGGTCCATGTCTTCTTGGGCTGACCTGCTAGAGCTCCAGCTTTCATCTGGAGGTACTGCTTCTTTCCTCTATACTGTAGAGGTTGAGCAGTTTCTCATTTGTTAATCTCTGGTTGCCTCACTGTCTCCTTTTTCCGCTTTTCTCTTTCTCTGTCAGTTTGGTAGCCATTTCCTTACGTTATATTCTATCTGTTGTAAATATACAGAATTGTTTTTGTTTTCCTGGCTGGACCCTTACCAACATACTATTTAATTAAACTGATAAATTACATAAAATATCACATTTGTATAATTTGGTTGAATTTCTGGCCAAGTACTTTTTGGTTAATATTAAGAGTTATGGAGGATAGGTAAAAAGGAAGGCGTTATTATTTCTTAAACCAAAGTAACTTGTATAGCTGTTGTAGCTTGGAACGCTCTGTCTTCATATCTAACAACTTGAATAATATTGTATTTGAGTAGACTCATGAAAAAGTTAGTATAACAATTATTTACCATTTTAAAATTTAATGGTATATTTATATACTTTTTTTTCTGTCTCAACAATGCTTTTGGGTGGATAAGGCATAAGTTATATCCTAGTTTTTCAGACAAGGAATAATTTGACTAAGGACAAATAGCTAATGAGTAGCAGAACTGGATGGTACTTCAATTCTTATCTTTTAACATTTAGTACATCATTTTCATTGCACTAAACTACCTTAAAAATGGCTGTGTGAGTTTTTCAGTCTGTTAAAAGGAATAGTGAAAAGATGATTAAATGAATAAACTGCTTGAATTTGTTGTATTATTGGAGAAAGGGGATAAGGATAGGCAGAATATTAATATTTATTGAGTGCTTGGAATCAAGGTAGCAAATATAAAGTTACATGATTCTACAGTATTCTTATGAGATAATTATTATTGTCCTTATGAACTGTAGCTAAAGAAGTTGTATAAGTTATCTGAAATTGGATATAGTTTTCCAGTTTCAAAGTTCAGCTCTTTTTTTGTGTATAGAGTTCTGACTATATTATTTTTTATCTAAAATAGGATTCTTGTAAGATTAACAAGAGGCTGTATTTATTGGTTACACTGGGCAGCTAGAATATGATGTGGCTGTCTTAGATAAAATGAGGTGTATGGATAACTATATTTTGAGTGTCCTTAAGAGGTTTGGAACTTGTGCTGATACACAAGGCTTGCCACAATGAATAAAGAAAATTACAATTTCAAAATATTCCTGATAATCAGTTATTGTAGAGGGGTGTATGGAAGGGGATGATTTATTAAATAAAATTGATATCTAACATTTACGATGCCCTGTTCTATTTTATATATATGCAAGTTGACAGTTGGTATCATGTGCTTAATCTCATTTTTTGTTTTAAGATTATTCACTATAAAGATTATGAATTTGGCTTACCTACCTACAAACTAAGGAAAATATAGTAGGTAGATTTTGTTGTATTGCTAGTTTTTTAAAAAAATTAGATGTTAAAAAAAGAAAAAAATTAGATGTTATATGCTTGACCAAATATATACAAGTAATAAAAATGAAGTTACATGAATGGCCATTGTAGGGTAAGATGGGTATCATACACACATCAAACCATTAGTATTAGTATTTACACAGTCTGACATATCAAACCAAGCATTAGTATTCCCACAAAGAATCCCTAGAAATCAGTAAAAGATAAACCAGAAGCAAAAGAGCAAGGGATACAATAATTATATCCAGTAATTCTCAATAAATCCAATGCAAAAGGCTCAAACTACTAGTATTAGGAAACTTTAGACTAAATGATGCACAAGTTTATTACCATGGTCTATGAGATCCTGCAGAAATCTCACTTCTATATAGCTCTCTGAACTCACGGCATTGTTTTCTCTAATTTATCATACTTCAACCTACTTCCTTTCATTTTTTAAAATATTTTATTTATTTATTTGAGAGGCAGAATTATACACAAAGAAAGGAAGAAACACAGAGTTAGGTCTTCCATCCACTGGTTCACTACCCAAATGGCCACAACGGCCAGAGTCGGGCTGATCCAAAGCCAAGTGCCAGAAGCTTTCTCTGGGTCTCTCATGTGTGCAGGGGCCCAAGCACTTAGGCCATCTTCTCTGCCTTCCCAGGCATTAGCAGAATGCTGGATTGGAAGAGGAGCAACTGGGACATGAACTGGTGCCCTTATGGGATGCCGGCGCCACAAGTGGAGGCTTAACTTACTACTGCATAGTGCTGGCTCCTCATTTTTCAAATAAACTCAGTTCTTTCCTATTTCCTGTCAGAGATTTCTTTTCCTGGTACTTTTTAATTTGTTCCTCAAGAGAACTTCTAATCATTTAATTTATAACGTGTTATGTTCTATTTTTCATCCTAAGCTTGATAAGGTTAGGGATCACATCTGTTTTATTTTCTGCCCTATGCCTGGTGCCCTTTTTAGTGTTTGGGACATAGTAGGAACTCAAAATAAAAGATGATAATAATGCATATTGTTAAATATGAAGAAAACTATTAGACACGATGACGATTTTCTACACATTTAGGAATTGAGAATATGAGATCATGTTGTAGCTCTCATCTTCTATTCTGCTTACCCAAACTATATCTAATACATTCTGAATCAAATGTGGTTAGAGTGATAAGGGGCTATATACCAAACAATAACATAAAAAAAATTCTTGAAGTCCTTATCTTAAATTTAAAAATTTTTATTTTGTCAAATATATATCTTTAATATTTCCAGAATGGCACAGAGAAGACATAAAAGAGTAAGAACATGGACTCGTCATATAAATATTTTTAATAAAGATTACATCTTTGTACCTGTTAATGAGTCGTGAGTATTCTATATTACTTAAAAACAGAGTCGAATATGCAATTAATTGTTGTCAACTCTAGTTACCTTTATGTGCTACAGAACATTAGAAGTTAGGATTTTCGACATTCCAAAAAAAAAAAAATAATAAATGTTTGAGGGGATAGATATGCAAGTTACCCTAATCTGATCATTATATATTATATACATTTGTATATGTGTACCCCACTAAATACATACAATTATAGTATGTGACATTGAAAATAAATTGTAGAGGATTCACAAAAAATATTTTGTGGCATTTTTAGATTAATAATCAGTAAAAAGCATAGGTACATGAGTCCCAGATATAACACTTTTTTCCCATAAAAGTAGCTAAAACAGTGAGTTGTTAAAGCAACTCAGTTTTGATTTAACAATGATTTTGTTGTAAATTGATTGAAAAAATAAAATGACAAATGATAGAAGACTTCATGACTTAGGTGAATTTTTTTGATTTTATAAAATATCTTCTAAATAAAAAATAAAAAAAAACTTAGGATGAATCTTCAACTATTTAAGGGAAAAAATTCTTCAAGCCCTAATACAAAAAAAGGTAATGATTCTTTTTATTTTTAAAGATTTATTTTATATATTTGAAAGAGTCAGTGAGAGAGGTAGAGACAGAGAAGGTCTTTTCTCTTTTTATTTATTGACAGATGAGTGACAGTGAGAGAGAGACATAGAGAAAGGTCTTCTTTTGCTGTTGGTTCACCCTCCAATGGCTGCCACGGCCAGCGCGCTGCAGCTGGCGCACCACGCTGATCCGATGGCAGGAGCCAGGTACTTCTCCTGGTCTCCCATGGGGTGCAGGGCCCAAGTACTTGGGCCATCCTCCACTGCACTCCCTGGCCACAGCAGAGAGCTGGCCTGGAAGGGGGGCAACCGGGACAGAATCCGGCGCCCCGACCGGGACTAGAACCTGCTGTGCCGGCGCCGCAAGGCGGAGGATTAGCCTAGTGAGCTGCGGCGCCGGCCAGAGAGGTCTTCTATCTGCTGGTTCATTCACCAAAATGGCTGCAGTGGCTGGAGCTGAGTCAAACCAAAGTCAGGAGCCTCTTCCATGCCTTCCATGTGGGCCATCCTGTGCTGCTTTCCCAGGCACATTAGCACGGAGCTGGATTGGAAGTGGAGCAGCTGGGACTTGAACTGGCACCCATAGGAGATGCCAGTGGCTGTAGTGCCACAGGGCCAGACCCAAATCTGTCTTTGTATTAAAGCAGACCCTCAATAGAAAACACTGATAACTCAGATTTTACCCTCAATTGTGTTACTTATGCCTGGTATAACTATGGATTCTTAAATAGTTTTAGAATACATGCTATATATCAGATATTACAGTGGACATTTTAAAAATTAATATTAAGTTTTCATGACCACTTTCTCAGATGTAGCTGTAGGACATATTTTTCTACATTGTGTAGATTTTGTATATTATAAAAATTGTAGTTCTTTCTCAACAGGTCTCACTGGTATCTTGCAGTCATTTGTTTTCCATGGTTAGAAGAAGCTGTGTATGAAGATTTTCCCCAAGCTGTATCCCCACAGTCCCAGGCTCAGCAGTCCCAACATGACAACAAAATAATAGGTGATGGTCTTGATGTTGATGGTATTTTTTAAGTAATGAATACAATAGTAAAATTGTGACAGAGTTCAATATGAAGTTAAAGGTAGTGTAGTTATTTATTATTATTCAACTTACTTGAAGGGAGAGTAAAACAAAAATTTTCATAATAGATAACCAGTCTCCTAGGTAGACTAAATGTAATTCTTAAATTATACTGCTATACCAGGCTTTATTGTAGTCTTTTTTATGGGACAGCTTTGCTAACATGACGAAGGATTCAAGTGATACATCTTTAAGCATGGCTTAAAAATATCCTTTCAAAAAATTAATTTGTTATCTTTGAAAGGCAGAGAGACAGAGAAACAGACAAATTCCCCTCCCCCCTTTTTTTTGACAGATAGAGTTAGACAGTGAGAGAGAGAGACAGAGAGAAAGGTCTTCCTTCCATTGGTTCACCCCTGAAATGGCTGCTATGGCCAGAGCTATGTCGATCCGAAGCCAGGAGCCAGGTGCTTCCTCCTGGTCTCCCATGTGGGTGCAGGGCCCAAGCACTTGGGCCACCCTCCACTGCCTTCCTGGGCCACAGCAGAGAGCTGGACTGGAAGAGGGCGACTGGGACTAGAACCCAGCGCCCACATGGGATACCAGCGCCGCAGGCGGAGGATTAACCAAGTGAGCCACAGTGCCAACCCCAAATTTCTCCCATTTGTTACTTCATTCTCCAAATGCTGAGGTTAGGTCAGGCTGAAGCAAGGAGATGGATCGTTGAGGTCTCCTATATCGGTAGGAGGGACCCAAAAACTTGAGTCAGCTCCTGTTGCCTCCTAGAGTGAGCATTAGTAGGAATCTGGAATTGGAAGTGGAGCTGGGACTAGAATCCAGGCATTCTGTTACAGATTATGGGTGTCCCATGAGGCATCTTAGCTACTCTGTCAAACATCTGTTCCCCTGTTTTAATGTATTTGAACGAATTTCTTGTAGATGCTAATAATTCAGAGATCTCTTTTAATCCTTCCATGTTATAATTCAGAATCTTAATTAAGTAGACAAATAATTTCTCTTTGAGGAAAAAAATAGCAAAATTAAGTGTCTTATAGCTCTAAGCCTAAGCAGCAAGCAGAATTATTAATAGCCATTACAGTTATTACTGGCCAAAACCTTGGAGGGAAGAAAGAAAAATTGATAAAGCAACTAATTATTTCAGTTTTTTTTCTAATTCTTTGGCTTCTTAAGTACACTTACAAAACTCTGTGGTCATAGTTAGAAAAACTATTACTGGGAAAATTAACTATACTATGCATTAAAGTATCATATGCTTTGACTAATGACCTTTGGTTAAATCTTTTTATAGGAAACTGGCCCAGCTAACTTGCATTTCAGGTTTTTATTATGGGTGGTTATTTGATAACAGCTAAACATTATCAGTTTTATCCATTGAATTTTATTCATAACATCACACAAAAAAAATTAAATGTATGCCAAGTATTTTTATATCTTTAATTACTACAATGAATACAAATGATAATTCAAGCTAATCTAATTATCTGTAGTGAATCTGCAATAAAGACATAATCACTTCCTCATTTCTTGCTAGATAATGATCAACATTCTACATCATTGTTATCTCTGAGTGCAGAGGATTCTCAAGTAAGTGTTCTTTACAGATATGAAGGAAGGAAAACTCATGAGCATGATAATTTAGCTATAAAAAAGGGCATAGGTAGGTGGGCAGTGATGGCTCTTAGTGGCCCATTACTAAATTGTGCTGATCTATAATTCCTTGATGCTTTTATGGGACTGGGAAAGAGAACAAGAAAAGTTACTCTTTTTGTATCCATTTAGCTTGCTTTATTTTCCAATATTTATTTATTTAGTAGTTTAATTGATGTCATCTTGGTTAGCTACTTTTCCATTTCTAGTGTCAGGTTTACTTTTATTCTTTACTACTTCAGTAACATTTGAACTTAGTATAATTAATAACCTTAGCTAGCACATTTTATCTTCTTTCTGTTTTAAATTGTCAGTAAAAATCATTGAAAATCGACCCAAGGTCAAGCCATATGATTGTTTGGACCAAAATAGTTACTGTTATCTTTTCTTTATATGAGATTCCAAATTGGTAGGTGTAGTCCAGATACTGCATACTAATTGATTAAGATTAGCAGCTGGTGACTTTGATGTGTGTAGAGACAGTAGCAGCCTGCCGGCATAGGCCTTTGTCTTTACTGTCACTGGGGTGGAGTGGGCAGGAAGAAGGAAGCTTCTTTTTCTGCTGTCCCAGTGGCAGGATAGAGAAGTGCCATCTTGCTTCTAGGGCCAGGCTTCTCAAACTGGGTTCCTTTGACTACTATATGCAATTTATGTTAAAAAGGATTCTCAGGTCAGTTCAGTTGGGCAAACTCTTTGTACTATTCTTTTGGAGCTTACTATGTATATTAGAATAGTGAAGATACTGAGAAAGTTTATATTATAGAAATATGGTTAAGTTTGATCTGTGGTTTCTCAAAATTGTGAACAGAAACAAATATTCATAAAAACAATGAAATCTCCAATCCTTTTTCTCTTAATATAGACTAATACTCTGCTATTATCATAAATTGAGTTAGACAATGTATATAAAGGCAGATTAAAGTAGTGTGTTTATCTTTGTTTAAGATGACAACTCTGAATTGAAGTTCCAGATTGTTTTTTAGGCCAAGGTGAAGCTCCATAGTTACTGGAGGCTACCTGTAAAAGTGTCTTAATTATTTTACCAGCATTAGAAAATAAATCAGCAAATTTCTGAAAAATAAGTTAATTCACATCAGAGGATAAAAAGAACTTTTATTTGAAATTGAAATTTAATTTCAAAGCTGTTTGAAACATCTTAAGAAATAACTGAATATTAATTTACCCAAACTAGCTTTAATTTCAGTAATGAACATTCATGTTATTTCAGAGTACCAAGACGAATATATCAGTACCTAAGAAAATGTGTAAAAGGTAGGTACATGCTATCATAATAATATAGCATTGTTGAGATATTTAGGTATACATTATATACAAGTATATGTATCTTGATTTCTGTTTTGATTTTCATAGGCCATGTATTCTCATACTTGACTCCTTGAAAGCTGCTTCTATACAAAACACAGTTCAGAATTTACGAGAGTAAGTAATGATAATTTTATCATTTAGTGTATTATCTGAAATTTCAGTAATTTTGAAGATACCTTAAGAATTACTGAAAAGACTACACAGGAATTATTTTATTATGCATTTAAATGAGACCTATACATATTATCTATTATGTGTTAATATTTAAGAATTAATATTTCTGAAGGATAATATCAAAAGTAAATTGAGAATTTGTATTACAATTGAATGAAAAAAAGAATTTTACAAAGGATCATTGCAAATGTTTGTGACTATTTGAGTACAACTTTAGAAAAAGATAAGAACTCTTTTACATTCATAATATTAAGTGCACATGCATGCATGTGTATATGCAATGAAACTTTTAACACAATTGTTAGTTTACTTTGTAGTGTAATAATTTCATGTACTTGAGATGTTAAAAAGAGGCTGACTTTTAGTTTGAAGATCATGTTGTTTTCTTTAAGATAGAACTTGTGAGGGTTCACAAAATATAATTTAAACTGTTAAAGTTCAATCTTTGGAAATTTGGCTTGAGAACAACACATGTGGCAGCAAACATTTTTCCACCTTTATGAAAGTGTTGCATACTGATAAGGAAATTTCTGCTAGAGTCAATCTGTGTATTGCTGTTTTCAGGTATTTAGAAGTCGAGTGGGAAGTTAAGCGAAAAACTCACCGTGAATTCAGCAAAACAAACATGGTGGATCTATGCCCTAAAGTTCCTAAACAGGATAACAGTAGTGATTGTGGAGTATATTTACTGCAATATGTGGAAAGCTTCTTCAAGGTATGTGAAGATATTATAAATAAGTTTTCTATTCACAATTACCCACATACAATCATAAGCCAGTAAATGGGCAGGAAAATGTTACAGGTAATTCAAACAGGAAACAACAAGAACAGCAGCAAACAAGTAGAAGCATACATGATCCAGATACTGAAATTAGCAGATACAAACTAGAATGAAGGCTGGCACTGTGGTGTAGTGGGTAAAGCTGCCGCCTGTAGTGCTGGCATCCCACATAGGAGCTGGTTCGAGTCTCGGCTGCCCCACTTCTGATCCAGCTATCTGCTATGGCCTGGGAAAGCAGCGGAGGATGGCCCAACCTTGGGCCCCTACACCCGTGTGGGAAACCCAGAAGAAGCTCCTGGTTCCTGGCTTTGGATTGGCGCAGCTCCAGCCATTGCTGCCAATTGGGGAGTGAACCAGCGGACGGAAGACCTCTCTCTCTCTCTCTCTTTGCCTCTCCTTCTCTCTCTGTGTAATGCTTACAAATAAATAAATCAATATTTATAAAAAAAACCTTTAGAATGACTGGTTTTATAAGTTAAAGAAAATGAACCAATGGTCATCAAAATGGATCAGGGATGCAATAAAAAATGAATGGACATTTTAGAACTGAAAATGTATAATTATATGTCTGAAATAAGGAATTTTCTTGATTGGTTTAATAGACTGGATAAAGTAGAAGGCAGGATTAGTGAATTTAAAGAAAGCACAATAGAAGGTATCCAACTATAGCTCAGAGAGCAAAAAGAATGTAAAGAAGAGAACAAAGCTTAAGAGGCAATTGTGTAACTGTCAAAAGGTCGAATTCAAATGTAGTTAGAATTCCAGTAGGATTGGAGAAAAAAGAAAATAGGACAAACACAACATTTAAAGAGAATTTTCCAAAATTGAATAACCCATTTGTTAGGGAGCTTAGGAAACTGTCTGAAGTAGAATGACAAGCATAGTTATTTTCTTTTTTTTTATGTAATTTTTTTTTTTTTTTTGACAGGCAGAGTGGACAGTGAGAGAGAGAGACAGAGAGAAAGGTCTTCCTTTTGCAGTTGGTTCACCCTCCAATGGCCGCCGCGGCCGGTGCGCTGCGGCCGGCGCACCGCGCTGATCCGATGGCAGGAGCCAGGAGCCAGGTGCTTCTCCTGGTCTCCCATGGGGTGCAGGGCCCAAGCACCTGGGCCATCCTCCACTGCACTCCCTGGCCACAGCAGAGAGCTGGCCTGGAAGAGGGGCAACCGGGACAGAATCCGGCGCCCCGACCGGGACTAGAACCCGGTGTGTCGGCGCCGCTAGGCGGAGGATTAGCCTAGTGAGCTGTGGCGCCGGCCCAGCATAGTTATTTTCTAGCTCACACAGACTCTATAGGAACTGTAGCAGTGTTAAACAAGATATTTCAAATGGCAAGGAATCCCTCTTTTTGCTTTTGAGCAGTCAGCTTATTAATTCAGTCATTACCAGTGTTATTTATGAAGATCAATATGAGAGGAGGAGGAGGGTGTTTTTGAGCGGTTACCTGCTTGGAGAATGCTTAAAGATGGAAGATGTCTCTCCCTCTTCTTCCAATGCATGAGGGTTATAATATGAGGTTACAATTTTTTGATGTTTTTTATATCAGGGAAGAATGTTACTATATAGTAAAATAGAGTAAGCATTAAGGAAGCCTTTAAATATTTTTTGTTTGTTAGGTGTTTTTCCCCCTTTTTTTTGTTCCACACTGGGGCTCTGTGGGATGAAACCTAGTGTGACATTCCTGGTCCTCTAATACTCCTTTCCAGATGGATTTGATTTTGTGTTTGTATATTTGACATATCACATAACATAACGTATTCTTTTTTTAAGATTTATTTTATTTATTTGAAAGAGTTACACAGAGAGAGGAGAGGGAGAAGGAGGGGGAGGGAGAGGGGAGTCTTCCATCTGCAGGTTCACTCTCCAATTGGCCGCAATGGCTGGAGGTGCGCCAATCTGAAGCCAGGAGCCAGGAGTTTCTTCTGTCTCCCACGTGGGTGCAGGGGCACAAGGACCTGGGCCATTCTCTACTGCTTTCCCAGGCCACAGCAGAGAGCTGGATAGGAAGTAGAGCAGCCAGGACTCAAACCGGCACCTATATGGGATGCTGGCACTGCAGGCGGTGGCCTTACCTGCTACGCCACAGCTCCGGCCCCTACATAACGTATTCTGAATCTGTTAACATAGTTTTACTTCATATAGCCTTAAATATATATAATTTATAATTCTAATATAGGATGAAGCACTATGTAAGATTCCTTAAAGAAATCTTCAGAACTCTAAATCTTGTATTTTGCAAATTTGTGCACTAATATAGTTTAAATTAGAAGAATAGTCTTGTGGGGGCCTGCATTGTGGTGCAGTGGGTTAAGCTGCAGCTTGCAACATGGCGTGCCATATTGGAGTGCCAATTTGAGTCCTTGCTGTTCCGCAGCTTCCTGCTAATATACCTGGGAAGACAGTAGAAGATGGTCCAGGTTCTTGGGCCCTTGCCATCCATGTGGGAGATCTGGATGGAATGCCTGACTCCTGGCTTTAGACTGGGCCAGCCCTGTCTGTTGCAGCCTTTAGGAAATGACCTGCAGTTGGAGGATCTCTTTCTCTCTGTCCTTCTCTTTCCCTGTCACTGTGCCTTTCAGATAAATAAATCATAAAACAAAATAGTGTTGGAGCAGAGAACATAGAAACCTATGGTGCTTTGTAAATAAACCCTTACAGAAAAAATATTAATTCTGATAAAGACACAAGACAGTAAATCTCTATTGGAATTTGCTCCTAGAATCACAGTCCAACCATCCTTTCAGACTTACACCTGGAGAGTCTTAATTCCTTCTTCAAGATATAAGTTGTTACATCTAGCTTCTAATAATTTCATCACATTTATAAGCATGATCTACAGATAGCCTTTTTTATTTTTTTTTAAACAAAGGGCAAGGGGGCGAGGAAATGTTTGTACAGTTACAACTTGTTATTTCCTGGTTAAGCTTAACATATTGGGAAATGTAGCAGTTCTTGAATCTGTTAATTCACACTTTTGCATGATTTTCCATTTTTAAAATTTGAGATTCTTTATTTACTGTGAGTGCTTTCTCTTTATTTTAATAACTTTAAAGTAGTAACATACTTGGAAAAATTGTGTTCAACCAACCTGACTTCTGAGTTGTGCTACATCATTCTCTATCTACCAATTCTGTTTGTGATAATTCACTTAATCATGCATTGTAGCAAAACATATAGTAACTAATATCGATGTTCAAAATTTTGATGTACAATTTAATGAAAATTGTTTAACATTGATTATGGTGATGATTACACAACTTTGAGGATGCTAAAATCACTGAGTTGTATACTTCAGGTGAATTGTATTATATGTGAAGTGTATATCAATAAAACATTTTTAAAAACGTAACAATTTCTTATTTGCTGTAAAAATGAAAGAAAATTTGGAATTATACTGTTAAAATGATTGCGTTCTTTCTTTTTTCTCATTAGGATCCTATTGTTAACTTTGAATTTCCTATTCATTTGGAGAAATGGTTTCCTCGTCATGTAATAAAGACCAAACGTGAAGATATTCGGGAACTCATTTTGAAACTTCATTTACAGCAACAGAAGGGCAGCAGTAGCTAGTTAATCTGTGAAAACATGACACATATGTTCTCTAAGATTACTGGAAAGCGGCTTACCAGCATTTGTGTTAGCCAGCTCACAGAGAAGAAAATAACTTGCAGTAGTTTTATAAGTCATTGAACATTATTTAAAATATATGTTATTAGAATTGTTGGGATTCATAGATGGAGTGTGAATGGGGGTAATATAGATAAACATATTAGATAGAAATTGAAATTTCATAAATGTTTGATATTTTTCTGGGCATATATGCTTGGATTATGCAATAGTATATGACATATGTAATGTGGGAATGTTTTTGTAGATAATAAAAGTATGTGATCTGTACTTCCACATGACTGGGTGTTGAAGGGAGTTAGGTCCTCCCTGGTGCCAGCCCCAGGGCTTGTCAAATTTGTTGACAAGTCACATCATATTGTAATTCTATTCTTTGCAGCTCAAGCATGCAGTATGAATACTGTGTATTTTTTTAAAAAAAAATTTAGTATCAAGGTTTCAGAAAATGCCATTTAAGGCATCCCTCCTGTATAGTGTAAAAAAGACGTTCATAATGTTAGGAAGATGATGAAAAGTCACTCTTTCAAAGCGCAGCTTATTACTCTCAATTGCTAAATGCAATTACTGTTCTAATTTTTCCTTTCCATTTCTCTTGATGTTACATGTGGGAATCTGAGAATTTAGTTCATTTTTTCAGGGTAAAAATTGGAACAAAAAATTAAGCTGTCCAAAATAGGTTTTTAAAAATTATATATGTAGCTCAACTTAAGTTTATTTGGAATATAGCTATATAAATATTCACTCCTAAGTTATCACAGAATATATGTATACAGCTTCTAAAACATATGAGATAAAATTGGTGTTCTCATAACTTTAACAAAAAATATACTCTTAGAGTTCTATTTATTAATTGTTAGAATGAAATATATAATTTTATAGCTCAGTTTGCCCAGTATTCATCTGCAAAGACAGATTGCTCTCATTACTTTTATATTTTAAAATTGTAGTTTTTAAAGACCTATGATCGCATATGGATCTTAAACCTATGGAGCTTAATTTTTTTATTAAATATTCAGGTAACAGTTCTACTGAATTCATGTGATGATAGTGGTATTATATTTGATTAAACACTTCAGAACCTTCTGATGTTATCAGGAATATTTTGAGGGAGACATGATTATATTGTATTTTCTCAAATAAGAAAAAATTTTTAAGAATATTATTTTAATCTTCTGTTTTAAGCATTTCTTATATTTACCTTGTAACTGTATGTAAGGGAGTAAGCAAAAGCAATTTAAGAAAACACTAAAGTCTGAACAGTTTATTTCAGAATTATGTGAATTGAGGTTCAGTGAGCCTCAGTGTCCTTAACTTTTGTTAAGCTTGTCACCATCTTTATATTGTTACAGAGATTTCATATCATATGATTATAATTGCATTTTCATTCCCAGTATGTATGTGTTGGGGGGAGGCTTTTTTAGGTGACTGTTATTTTGTACATCTAATTTTGGGAAAGCAACTATATATGACATCTTGTGATTTCTTAACTTTTTTGTTTGTATATTTTTCAAAGATCCCACTGTCCTTTATTATGTTTTAAAGATTGTTTAAAATTAATTTTCCTAAATTCATGTGGAAATAATGCTTTGAGGATATCAACATTTTATATTAAACATACTTCCAATTCATTAAAATTGAAGTGCAATTTTTTTTCTTATGAAATATCAGCCATTGTTAGAAATAAATTCATAGTTGTATGATGTCCTTTGCATATCCCCAAAGTGATGCTTTAGTTTATTTTTACCTATTTTAAGCAGCATATAGTTTATTTGATTAGTATTTCAGTTCAGTGATTTTTAAAAAATGATCTATCTATCTATCTATCTATATCTGTCTAAAAGGCAGAGTGACAGAGAGGGAAAGAGAGAGATCTTCCATCTGCTGGTTCACTTCTCAAGTACTCACAAAACCTGGGGCTGAGACAGGCCAAAGCCAGGAGCCAGGAACTCCATGTGGATCTTCCGTATGAGTGGCAGAAACCCAAATATTTGGGCCATCATCTTACCTCCTTGGTACGTTAGCAGGAAGCAGTTGGAAACACAAGCAAGACTAGATCTCAGGCACTCTGAGATGAGATGTAGATATCTGAAGTGGTGGCCTGATCCACTACACTACAGTGCTTGCCCTAGGGAAATTTTGTTAGTATCAGTAACCATTTTGCTACAGCCAATGCACTGAACCATGTATCTTTTATTCCTGAATTATTTATGAGCATATGAATCTTTTAATATTCTCTGGTAAGAACAATCATAGGACTTCTTTGGTAACAGTAGAGAGCTTAGCCTAGAAGGTGTGTGTGTATGTATGTGTGTGTGTATGAATGTCCAAGAAGAGAGATGTTGAAAGGGTTGTTAGTGGACAAGGAAAGAATTTGTAGAGAAGATACTGTTTTTAACTCACAATTCTTGGGCTGAAAAAAAAAAGTTGTATCTAATCACTTTATATAGGTTTCAGAAGAAGTTTATTGCCTCCTTAGATCAGTTTATCTTTTTATATCAGGAGGAAGAAGAGATTTAGACTTGTCATTTAGAGCCTCTATCCTTATCCTTCCAATGTCTTTTAATTTTTAGACATTCAAAAATTATTTATGCTTTAAGTACTTCTGTCTGTAGTATCCTGTAACTGAACTTGACCTTGTGGAAATTTTGCTCATAGGCAGTTAAAAGACATATTTCTGTGTGTATGGAGCTTGCTTCTTCTGCATTTAGTCAGGTAGTTCCTTCTGTTTCAACTGAGCCTTGTGGGTGCTGGAGAAATCATTTAAGACTCCAGATAAAGATGTATTTGGAATGACTGTGATCACACTGTTTACTTTGCTGTATTCTTCCACAAAATAAACCTGGAGCCAGGTTTCAGACTGTTGTCCTGTGAGTGTGAATGTTGCATTGTTACATTTTACCCCTACACCTGCAGAACTTGGCACACGTTGTTCTCTCTTCCAAGGATGCTTTTTTAACTTCTTGTGAATTCCAACTCATGTGTAGATTCCCCCACACCTGCTGAAGCACAATAATCCATACCCTCTCCTGCTCCCCCATAGGTTTATATAAACTTATCTAATCACTGGTATGTATATATTGTTTTTATGTAGTTTTCCCTCTTAGATTGTAAGCTCTTCAAAAACTGGAGAAATTTTGCATTACCTGTATTTTTCTTGAATTAAATGATCCTCAACTAATTTGGAATTAGAAATGAATTAAGGAATCTGGTACTTGTTACCTATAAAGTACAGAGTTTTATGTTTCTTTTCTCATATACTTATGATTTGGGGATGTTTCTTAAATTTGACAGAGTTCAAGACCATCATGTGAGATTCTGAAGTATTTCCTAAAATGAATCTCCATCCATAAATCTCAAGCAATATATTTTTTAAAGATTTATTTTATTTGTTTGAAAGATAATTACAGAGAGAGGTAGAGAGAGAGAGAGAGAGAGAGAGAGAGAGATCTTCCATTAGCTGGTTCACTCCCCAAATGGCTGCAATTGCAGGAGGTGAGCTGATCCAAAGCTGAGATCCAGGAGCTTCTTCCGGGTCTCCTGTGTGTATGCAGGGGCCCAAGTACTTGGGCTATCCTCCACCGCTTTCCCAGGCACATTAGCAAGGAGCTGGATCAGAAGTGGAGCAGCCGGGACTCGAACTGGCGGCCATATGGGATGCCAGTGCTACAGGCTGGTGCTTTAAACCACTGCGCCACAGCACTGGAATATTTTTTTTTTCTGAGTAATTAAACGGCAGAGAAATAATCTGTTTCTTCTATAGGTAAAAAATCTAAAATGCTTGGTAAAATTTTCAAGATATTCTATAATTTATCTCAGTTTACATCTTTAGTCTTCAATCCCAATCTGTTTACTCTACGTGCCTATCCTGCTCTAGGAAATGTTTGTATAAACAGTATACTTTTCTACTTTGTTGATGATGATCAGGAATTTCTTGTCTGTTAATTCTTCCCACTAAACACCTCTACCTCTGCCCACAGAAATACCTTCTGGGCCATTCAAGACCCATCTATAATGTTCTATTTTCCAATAGACCTCCTCTACTTTTTCTAGATGGAGTTAATTTTGCTTTATGGTTCCATGGCACAAACATGGCAGTCATTACCTACTGCTTTGTATCACTGGTTCAGTTTTTTAAGGATCCTGTAGTTAACCGTTATAATTATCAAATATCAAGTTAAAATGGATTTATAAAATGATGAGCGTATGTAGAAACAAACCAGATGAGCTTGTATTTCTTATAATTGAGTTGTATACTTTTTATTTGCATTTTTAAAAGTTTAGTTGAAAGGTGGAATAGGGTAGGAGCAGAGATAAAGATCATCCATCGCTGTTTCTCTCCCCAAATACCTGCAAAAATAGAGGCTCCATCAGACTGAAGCCAGGAGCCTAGACTCAATCTAGGTCTCCAGGATGACAGGGACCCAACTTGTTGAGCCATCATTTGCTGCCTCCCAGAGTATGCAGTGACAAGAAACTGCAATCAGAAGTGGAGCTGGGTGATGAACTCAGGCACTCAAATATGGGATGCCAGCATCCCAAGCAGCATCTTAACCACTGTGCTCACCTGCTCCCCAGCTGAGTTTTTTTTTTAAAGTTTGTTTCTGAAATTTTATAAACCATATTTTATGGAACATAATGAATGGTTTTGAATATTTTAGAGTACATTCTCTACTTGTTAGGGTTACATATATATTTTCAGTCTAGAGCATGTACAAAAGAGAATTCCAAAGTTTAAACTCTGTAAACTTTATGAATGCTTTTGACACAAATGACTAGTACATGATACGTTAGTTTATAAAGAATGTTTATATTTCTTAATATTTATTGACAACCCTATTACATAGATAGATAGTCACAACCTATTTCTTCATTGAATATACCAGCTCAGAGAGCATAGGTGATTTAGGGAATCAAATGCTGAATGGCAAAATCAGGATTTGAGTCTGCATTTTCTCAAAATAAGCATGGAAATGTTTCCAGATAACTGTGATCTTCAAAAGATTTTTCACCTTTTGGAGTAGGCCACCAAAAGTCATAATTTCCAAGCAATACTTGTTGCCTAAGAGTTCTCCCTTGTTCTGAATTGTCATCCTCAAGCTTCTTTTTTTTTTTTTTTTTTTTTTTTTTGACAGGCAGAGTGGACAGTGAGAGAGAGAGAGAGACAGAGACAGAGAGAAAGGGCTTCCTTTGCCGTTGGTTCACCCTCAATGGCCGCCACAGCTGGCGTGCTGTGGCCGGCGCACCGTGCCTATCCGAAGGCAGGAGCCAGGTGCTTCTCCTGGTCTCCCATGGGGCGCAGGGCCCAAGCACTTGGGCCATCCTCCACTGCACTCCCTGGTCACAGCAGAGAGTTGGCCTGGAAGAGGGGCAGCCGGGACAGAATCTGGCGCCCCGACGGGGACTAGAACCCGGTATGCCGGCGCTGCAAGGCGGAGGATTAGCCTACTGAGCCGCGGCACCAGCGATGAAGCTTTTCTTAAGACTAAAATTTGCTTAGTTAACAAAATTTTTAACTCCTCCCATTCATACCATGAAGTTTGGTAAAAAAAATTTCTTATTTACTTACTAATATTTTGCGAATGCAACTATACACATGTCAGTTCATTTGTCAGCTTTTATAAGGGCTGAAAAAGTGGTTTATTTAAGGCTGCAGTCCAAAATACTACCTGAGCTGTTCCTGAAGTGTAAAACAATATTGAATATGACTTAATTAATACAAGTAAGGAATCTCAAGAGCAATGTGCTTTTGATCTTTATAAAACTTTTTCCCCCAAATGTCTCCAGAGTTACATAAAAATAAAATAAGATGTAAATTAATTGGTATTTGATAGTATATCCCAGGTTCCACAGGGATTTTGACTAACTTAATTGGTTTCTACTAGGTTTGTTTGATAAAAGCATCTGTCCTGAATCATAGATTTTTATCTGATTCCGTTGGTCTTGGAGGAAATCTTTCTTGGTTAAGCCTTCCTCATGTAGAAAAATAATACATGGAGCCTCAAATTTGATAGCAAATCAAGCAATATAGGTATCACAATTATCTTTTGTATTAAGTGCCTAGCGTGTGCCATGCGCTATTCTAATAGTGTGAAGATTAAATTAGTTAATTAGTTAATTTAATCCTCATGATGTCTCTACTTTGAGTTTCCTTTACTATTCCCATCCCATTTTATATATAAGGAAAAAGGTCAGACTGAAAAGTTTTCAAATTTTCTACCAAAGATGGAAATTTATAAGACAGTAGCTTTTCTACAAAAGTGAATTTTGTTTTGTATGGAGATTTTTTGTATGTATTTTATTACTATAGTAGGTATAGCCAGTCTGAACATTTTCTACTTACATAATTTATGAGTAGGCCCTAAGAGAGCACAGAGAATAAGGGACCACATCAACTTCAACTAATAGATTCAGAAAAGTTGGAAAAATTCAGCGAATTGAATATGAAGCATATTATTTTTAAATGAACTTGCTAAAGACAAGGAGAGTGTTAGTAAAGAGCTTAGCTAGCTAGATTAAAGAAATTGTCTCTCCCCATCTGTTCTAATTAGCTTATCTCTCCTGCTTCACAGCATGCTGGTTATTTCAGAAAAGAGGTGACAGCTACTTCGGAAGGAAATTCTTTTTATTTACACTGATTTATGATGGTTTTGGAGTTGTTGTTCATCCTCAGACATAAACTTTTAAATGTTAGCACTTTTGTGTAATACTTTGTTACTGGAAATTTTAAGGAATTGGACTCTTAATTGAGGATTCTGCCCTCTCACCTTTCCTTTGGTTTTGGCCCAGATGATTATGTTTTCTCTTTTTAGAAAGATTTCTCTGGGTATTTTGATATTTGTGCTGATTGAAGGAGACTTTCCATCACTTACAGGTATTTAAACATCTGTATTATTTTCATCTTTTTATATATCTGTAGTATATTTCCTTCAAAATAGCATTAATTTATGTGATTGCTCTAATAATAGCTATTAATCTTTGATATTGTTTTATTTAAACTCTTAAAATGTATCCAATAATTTTAGTTTTCTCTTTTCATTTTCTCCTGGTTCAACTCTTATTTTCTCATATTATGCGAAATTGGATGTATACTTGATTTTGATAATAATCTTGAGTTAAAGGAGTGGGAATTAAAACAGAAGAAGATTTAATGCTTCACTCCTCTCCTTAGTTATGCATACCAGTCTATAATCTGAAAATTGACTTCAAAATCCAAATGTGGTGCAAATGTCCATTTTTCTTCATTGCGTTTTGCATTGCTATGCTTTCACTCTATAGCTAAACCTTCTTAACTTTAGCCGAGATCCAGGAACCCAAGAGTGCAATATCCTTTCTCTTGTCTGAAGAGTCTACAGACCCTACTCTGCCAACAGAAAAGCAACAGCCTCTGCACCACAGAGAAGCTGAGAGACGGTCATTATTCAGAAGGAGGCGATCTATTCTGTTTCCCAACGGAGTAAAAATATGCCCAGATGAAAGTGTTACAGAGGCAGTAGCAAATCATGTGAAGTATTTTAAAGTCCGAGGTAAGAAAACCTCCAAATTGTTCAGCTCCACAATGAAATTCAACCATTGTTTTGTCTCCTTCATTGTATCCCATTATAAATAAAAATTTATGATAATTTAGAACTGAGACAAATATCCTTTTTTTAAAACCTATGGCAAAAGAACTTGCTAAAAATGTAGTGTTAAATAATTTCAGAAAATAGTTTACATTATTGTAACAGAAGAAATATTCTAAATCTTTTCAAGCATTTAAAAAATGCCAGTTTATGTTATTATATAAATTAATTAGTTTTCACTTCTTTGTGACAATTTACCTAACTATCTCATAAAATATATTTACCAAGGTATACTCACCTGAATGTTTAATTATATCATATGCATGAAAATTAATTAATTTCTTTGTTTTATAGTTTAAACCTTCCATAGATTAATGTAGGGTGTTCTCTAGTTAGTACACATGAAACTGTTCATGTATAAAAATATGGTACTGATCGGTGAACACTAAAGCAACACAACTGGGATTTTACTTTGTTTTAAAACAGTATGATACTTGATCTCATATCTTTTGGTTATATTAATTCATTCTCTGTTTCTTATATTTACTAACAATGCCTAATTGATCATTAAAATATTTCTTAGACATTTGGAAGATTTTCAGACTTTAACATTTGCTGCTCAACAACCAATAAAAAACCATAATGTGGTTGTGAGATTAGTAAGCTAAAGTGGAGAGAGATGACAAGGTGACTGTGAAATCAGGTTTGTTCACCGTGTATGTGTTCATTCATTGAGCCAACAAATATTTATTGAACATTTGACTATTTTCCAGGCATTAAGTTATAGACATTTTCCATTTGAGTTCCTATTTTTTCCTCTTCCTTTTCCTTCTTCTCTACCTCACCAAATATTTTAAAATAAAATAGAAATTTAGTATCAGATGTTATATTAATATTTATATATTTTTATTTGTTAAAGTGGTACCTGGGGTAGGGCTTTGTGGTGCAGAGGGCTAAGCTGTAGCTTGGGATGAGTACCTTGTTTGAGTTGCTGCTACTCCGCTTCCAGTCAAGCTCCCTGCTAATGTGCCTGGGAAGCAGAAGATAAGGGCTGAAGTACTTGAGTCCCTTCTACCCATGTGGGAGATCTGAATTGAGTTCCTGGTTCTTGGCTTCTGCCTGGCTCAGCCCTGACTATTGTGGCCATTTGGGAAGTGAGCCAGCAGATGGAAAAATGAATCCTTCCCATGTCTCTCTCCCTCCCTCCCTCTCTCTGTTGCTCTGCCTTTTAATCAGTCTTTGAAAAATGAAGGAAGTGTCACTATGTTCCTAAACCTGTATATATGAAATACATGAAACTTATATAACTTAAATAAGATTAAAAAAAAAAAAGAAAAAACGATACAGTGTATTAGCTACTTTTTTTGATGAGGGCTTTTATACCTTTTGATTTTATCTTGGGTATCTTTTTACATTTTAGATTTTTTTTTTTAATTTGGGAAGGGGGTGGAGAGAGAGTGAACAAGCAAGCAAGCAAGCATAGGTACTCCCAGATACCCACAGAAATTTTGGAGTTGAAGCCAGGAGCCAGAAACTCAATTTTGGTCTTCTGCATGGACGGGAGGAACCCAATTATTTGAGCATCATCACTGCCTCCCAGAGTCTTCATTAACAGGAAGATGGAGTTAAGAGCGAGAGTGGGGACTCTGCTTTGGGAAGCAGGCATCCTAATAGCATTTTAATCACTAGGCTAAACACCTACCCGTGGATTATGATTTTAGAATAAAATATCTGATACTTGGAAGGAGGGATCTGTTCAATATCCAAACAAGGGTTCTAGCTCTTTCTACCAAGTTAATTCATTTTTGATGGTTTGCTCAATTTTTCCTCCATAGAGATTTTGTGGCAATAATTGCTAGTTTGTGTAAAAATATAAAAATGTCTTCATTTAAGCAAGAAACAGCCATCTTTAAGTTACTGATTTTTAAAATTAAACAGGATGCTTGGAGTATAATATAATTAGTAGTTTCCTTCCTCCATTTTTGCTTGTAGAAATCATATTTTAGTTGGATACTTTTTTTTTTATTTGACAGAGTTATAGACAGTGAGAGAGAGAGACAGAGAGAAAGGTTTTCCTTCCGTTGGTTCACCCCCAAATGGCTGCTATGGTCAGTGTGGTGCAGCCGGCGCGCTGCGCTGATCCGAAGCCAGTAGCCAGGTGCTTCCTCCTGGTCTCCCATGCGGGTACAGGGGCCCAAGCACTTGGGCCATTCTCCACTGCCCTCCCAGGCCACAGCAGAGAGCTGGACTGGAAGAGGAGCAGCCAGGACTAGAACCCAGTGCCCATATGGGATGCCGGTGCTGCAGGTGGAGGATTAACCAAGTGAGCCACATGCTGGCCTCTCTCCATGTCTTTTCATAGCTTGACAGCTCCTTTCCTTTTTTCACTGATTGATAGTCTCCTATATGGGTACACCAGAGTTTGTTAATGGACTTCTTTGTCACCTCCAAGTTTTGGCAGTTATGAATAAATCTTTAAATATTTGTGTGGATGTGAGTTTTTTTTTCTGAATTTAGGCAAAATATCAAAGATAGAAAATTCTGTATTTTGTTTTCTTTTTACATATAGAAAAGACTCACCATTATCTTCTGGTTTCAGATTGAAATATAGTAGCTTGAGAGTGTCCTCTTCCTGATTTTATGAAGTACTTTCAACTTTGTATAAGCTTGGGAGAAAGTTTCAAATATTCTCTTTTTATTTCCAAACCAGAGTTATGTGATGAGTTTTTGAAGAAGTAGATATGATGCATTTATGTCATTGCATTTTGCCAACAAACTCCAGGCCATTTAAAAATGTCATTATCTCCTTAAGACTTCCTGAAAGGCTGAGAAGATGGTTTTTGAAGCTGTTTTAATGTTCAGGAGAACATCTTCAAATATTAAGGAAACTTAAAATTGCAGTGTCTTTTAGGAAGACACTTTGAGTATATATAGTATAAAAACATACTTTTTTTTTTTAAGAGATGGAGGGAAAAAACTCAGCTCATTAAGAACTGATATTTCAGTTTGCAAAAGAAAGGAGTGGTAAGTATAGATTCTCTCTAGAACTAAAAAGGTATAAACAGGGCGTACAGAAGAACATCATTCTCATGTCTCCACAGAAAGGACTCTGTGGAAATGAGTGTCAGGGGAATCTGAATGAATCGGTCATGATGATTTGAGCACTTCAGTGTGCTAGCTTAACATAAAACATCATTTTAATCCATTTTCTAGTGTGTCAGGAAGCTGTCTGGGAAGCCTTCAGGACTTTTTGGGATCGACTTCCTGGGCGTGAGGAATACCGTTACTGGATGGATTTGTGTGAGGATGGAATCACAAGTATATTTGAAATGGGCACACATTTTAGTCAGTCTTTGGAACACAGAAGCTTAATCATGAAGGTAAGTGTTACAATGAGGGAAGGAATTGCTGGACTATTGTAAGAACGCATGTGCATAGCAGAGGCCTAAAAGATGAAACAGCAGTGGCAAGTTCTCGTGTTATACTCTTCAGTTGAATTAGGCTACCTGAGTGAGCTGCCTTAGGATGTGGCCTAGCCTTTTACCCCTAGTTCTGGCCTTCAAAATCAACATTGTTAACCCAGATAACAGCCTCAACCTTCTTTACAAATGTAAATTTTTAGAAGTAATATTCAGCAAAGGTTGAGGCCAAGAATATAAATCTTAAAGAGTCAAATATTTTGGGCAAAGTTATATGTATCAATTCAGAGTGGTTACCAATGACTCTAAGATAGTGGATATAGTTCATTGAATATTTTTAGTGAAGCATAAATAGGATTCTGATTAATGATTTCCCTACTTGTCTTGTTTTAGACATAATTTACGCTTAGCAAAACACAAATAAGCATCCCTATAGACATGTTACCTGCCCACTCTCCCCTTTTCATGTAGCACACACATATTCACAACAAGAAACTGAAACTCTTCAGACATATACAACAAGTTATCTGTGCTCTCTGATATTCCCTATATCATTCTGTCAGTCTATTCAAGGCCTATATGTCCTCAACTCAGATGTAAACTCCCTTGTGAGGAACCAATCCAGTTCCAGAAAATTTAGCTCCTTTTATGCCTCAAGGTTCATAATTCTTTTTTTTAAAGATTTATTTATTTTAAAGTCAGAGTTACACAGAGAGAGGAGAGGGAGAAGGAGAGGGAGAGAGAGAGAGAAAGAGAGAGAGAGAGAGGTAGGTTTTCCATCCAATGGTTCACTCCCCAATTGGCTGCAACGGCCAGAGCTGTGCCAATCTGAAGCCAGGAGCCAGGAGCTTCTTCCAGGTTTCCCACGTGGGTGCAGGGGCCCAAGAACTTGGGCCAACTTCTACTGCTTTCCCAGGCCATAGCAGAGAGCTGGATTGGAAGTGGAGCAGCCGGGACTAGAACCGGCGCCCATATGGGATGCTGGCGCTTCAGGCCAGGGCATTAACTCGCTGCGCCACTGCTCTGGCGCCAAGGTTCCATAATTCTTTATTCATTCTTTAATATTATAGTTCTTGTGCTTGTTATTATTAATTGTGCAAAGTGACTAATTCCTCTGTTAGAGTCAAAAGGTAGGAATTATGTCATTACATGTCCATTTTTGCATCCCCATGATGCAGTACATATTCAGTAGATATTTATTGAAATAGAAGTATAGAAACAGTAGCCACAATGTCTTTCCTGTTTGCTAAAATGTGTAAACTTTATGAATAATATTTGAAGTAGTAGTTATAAGTATTGTAAGCTTTAGGGGTTCTGAGGAAATTAGTTTTACTAAATAACTCCTAAATATTTTTATTTAGGACTAGTCAAAACAAGTTATGCATCTTAAAATATAGCATCCTGTTCTTTCTAATTTTAAGCTTGTGTTTCCAGTAGAGGTGTGCTATTGTTTTCTTATAACTTTTGGTCATATGTGGGGATGATCTTACTACATGGTGACAAATTGGGGAAGGAAGAATGGTCTGATAAACATGGTGGACAGAAGACAAACTTTGTAGGATTATAAACATTTTAAAGACTTGTAGCTTTGTAAGTATTTTGAATTACACTTAACTTTTAATTATGGTACCTCATATTTTAAGCCAAAGCATTCTCTGGTTTTTTGTAGCATTTTTAACTGCTCAATAGTTATAACAATATCCACCAAAATTTGTTCAGTATCAACCAGGTACCAGATCCTGTTTGTTAAGTCCATTAAAATATTGTATCTAATAAATAGTAGCCTTACAAAGAGGTGGTAGTTCCCCTATTTTACTGATAAATACATATACCTTAGAGTTGTAAAATTCTTTATCCTGTATCACAAAACCAGGATGTGATACAACTTAAATCCAAACTCAGATCTATATTCCCAATTCCATGTTCTTTTCCCCATACCACTGGGTCTGCCTTCTCAAACATTACTAATTTTATAAATAGTAATAGCTAATATGGAATAGCTGTTCAGTGAAAGTACACACACACACACACAGTTCTATCAGCACTGTCTCAATTGTGTCCATAATATGCTATCTGCTATTATAGCAGCAAACATGTGTGATGAATTAGTATTGCCTTAACAACAGAATTTTGTGATGTTATCTTGAAACATGTCTCTTACATATTGAACTTTTAATAACCATAGATTTGAAACCATAGCAAATACACTCTCAGTGATTATTTAGTAGAACAAACAGATAATTGGGGTGATGTGTTACCTGTATTAAGTCTTAAATGATGCATGCAAGTTAGCTAACTGAGGAGGGGTTGAAGATGGACATTGCAGTCTAAGGGGACAGCTAAATATGTATAGGGAATGACTTTGACCCACATAGCAGTAGGGTAGACTAGAAATGATACATCAGATGAGAGATGTGGTTAAGAAGTATGGATTTGACTTTGCAGATGATAGAAATCCATTGAAGAGTTGTAAATAAGTAAATCGCAGGGACTGATTTGACAGTTTTGAATTTTACAAAGGTTATCATGGTTTCTACAGGCCATAGGATGGATTACAGGGGACAAGACTGGAGCAGAGTGACCAGGTAGGATACTGCTTCAGTCCTCTAGGCCTGAGGTGATGCAGGTCCTACCCATACCATGAGATTAAAAAATGGAAGGGTGAGAGACATAGTGGGAAATAAGATTTGTAGTACTCTGGTGAATTAGATGGCAGTGGGATAAAGTGAAGGGATAGTCTGGGAAACCTGTTAGTTTCTAGCTTGGGTGACTAAGACCAAGAAATCAGAGAAGCAGCGTTGTAAATATGACAGGGAGAATGAGTTCATTTTTGAATGTGTTTACTTGAGCTGCCTTGTGAAATGTGAGTGCTTGATATTTCAATATAAAGCCAAGGAGAATGGTCCAGTTATAAATATAGCTATAGGAGCCACAGCCATGAGGTTGTAATGGAAACCATGACAGTAACTGAGATTATTTTAGGAGAGTCTTGTAGAGTAAGAAGAGCAACCAGTTATTCATACATATCATTAGAGATATGTAGGGAAATAGGATTTCTATTTTACAGATGGGGAAATTGAGGAAGGGAAAACTGGCACTTAAAGCTTGGTCTTCTGATTCCAAGTTAGTGTTCATTTCATCATATTGGTCTCAAACTAAAACTACGAATTTAGAGGGAATGAGTATAATTTGCATGAGGAATAATCCGATTATTTAATATGGTTTATATTTTTTCTTAAATCTGGAGAAACAGATTTATCAGTTTTTTAATCCAAATTTTTATGTTGTTCTAGCATGAGAATTACTACAAATATACTAGATCACAAAATTCTTTGATACTAAGTCCATGCCAGAGTAATATAAAAGTCTATGAACCTCTGACTTGTGGACCTTTCTGGAATGATTAGCAAGTAAAGTCTATTAATCTGTTCCCATTAAGAGACAGCACAAAAACTCTGGAGCACACAGTGTTTGAGGGCAGTCTTACAGTCAGAAAGCATATTTGTCTCTTTGGTATTTGTTTTCATCATGTATCTAACAATAGAGAATTAGAGACTAGTAACATGCATTCTACCACGTTAGGGCATTAATGTTTGCTGTGGAATAAGCTTTATTTGCTGCTTAGTAAGTGTTATTAACTCACTAATTTTTATGACTTTGTTTTCCTTAGAAACTGACTTCCACAAAGGAAACTATAAGCAGGTAAGTGTGTCCTTTTCCCTCAATTCATGTTTGGCAACTTAGATGTGTCATTCCTACTCCAGGACTCACCCCAAATTTAATAATGTCTTTTTATTTGCTTGCCAGTTCTTGCAATTACCAGTCCTGTGGATAAGTCCCAAATGCTCTTTCTCATCTTGAGTCCACCTCCCTTTCCAGACCACCACCTATACTTGCTTGCTTTGATCTTACCAGGAGGCAGACTTGTTCTTCTGTTGAATAGAAAACACATTAATGGTTTAGATGGAAAGATCTGTTGTTGATGTTTGAAAGCTAATGATGAAGTAGTTGTGAAAGGATACACTTTAGTGGAGGATAGTGGGTGATGGCTGGTAACATGGGTCACTTCTTAACTATGTAGGATTTTAGTCTTTTTTTTAAAGATTTATTTGTTTATTTGAAAGACAGAGTTAGAGAGAGAGAGAGAGAGAGAGAGAGAGAGAGAGAGAGAAAGTCTTCTATCTGCTGGCTCGCTTCCCAGATGGCCGCAATGGCTGGAGCTGAGCCCATTTGAAGCCAGGAGCCAGGAGCTTCTTCCCGGTCTCCCACACGGGTCCAGGGGCCCAAAGACCTGGGCCATCTTCTACTGCTTTTCCAGGCCACAGCAGAGACCTAGATCGAAAATGGAGCAGCTGGGTCTCAAGCTGGTGCCCATTTGGGATGTTGGCACTGCAGGTGGCAGCTTTACCTGCTATGCCACAGCATCAGCCCCAGGATTTTAGTCTTGAAGCATAGGAAGAGCACGGCATTGATGAGTTCTTCAGTATTATGATCTTGGTCCTATTGGCCTTTAGGTTTAGGGTGAAGGTAGTTTTTGGTTCCAGTGTGCCAGTAGTACAAATGAAACTACAAAAGATGAGGTATTTTAAATATATAGGGATAAAGATTTCCAATTCTGTCCATCCGCAGAATATCTAGATTATGCCAGCATGTGGGCGATTATATAGGAAAGCACTACTAGGCTTGCAATTCATGTCACAGTCAGAATTTTGCCTCACATTGGAGGGTAGGACAGGTTGAAAATCTAAGTAGATGAATCAGTATCCAGAAACACATCCTTAACAAGATTGAAGGAAAATCATAAGTAAACATGTGGGGGATAGTGGGTCATATCTAGATTTCAAGTTGAACATACATGAATAGTAGGAAAGGGGACTCTCTGTGGTCCTATTTATACAGTTGATGATACAACCAAGTCTGAGATGGGCTTGTGACTGAACATCTACTTAGATCTACTTAGGTGTGGTGTCTTAACCACTAAGAAGAAAAACTCAGGGGTTCCTTATGATATTATTGCAACAAATAGTGAAAGAACTATTATGATGAGTCTTATCAGTTGCAGTACTTTTTACACTTTTATGAACAAAAAGTGTGGTAAAGGCTCTGTTGCTCATGAGATAACAACAGAGATTTAAATAGGGGATTGGAATGATGAGGATTTTTAAAAAAGATTTATTTATTTATTTGAAAGCTAGAGTTATTGAGAGGCAGAGGAAGAGAGAGAGAGAGGGAGGGAGAGAGAGAAAGAGAGAGAGAGGTCTTCCATCTGTTGGGTGATTCCCCAAATGGCCTCAATGGCTGGAGCTGGGCCAACCCAAAGCCAGGAGCTAGGAGCTTCTTCTGGGTCTCCCAAGCGGGTGCAGGGGCCCAAGTACTTGGGCCATCTGGTCATAGCAGAGAGCTGGATAGGAAGTGGAGCAGCTGGGACTCAAACCGGCACCCATACAGGATGCTGGCACCGCAGGCGGCAGCTTTACCTACTATGCCACGGTGCTGGCCCCATGATGAGGATCTTGAAAGAACTTGGCTATACTTGGAACCCCCACACAAGTTACCCCAGTGTTCTTTGAGGTACTTGTCCCCTTTTCAAATGGTTGGAAGAATTCTGAGAATGTTGTAAGGCTGAGGGAACAGGAGGAGATGGAACAGAGATTCCATTGTGCTATATATTGAGTCTGTTTCCATGGAGTGTTCTGAACTTGGGGTTCTACTTCAGAGATCTGTGTTAAGCAAGGACGGCCGTTAGCTGATGTTTATTTGTTTTCTGTGACTTTGCTGGACCAGTTGGTGTTGACACTCTGCCCTCAGCCTAATTGTTTATATACAGAAAACCTTGCTCATCTGGGAAGTTTTAGGACAGCTATAGTATATCTCACTCCCAGTGATTTATTTAATAGATTTATAGTATTGCCTGAGAATGGAAATTTTTAAGAAATCTGCAGCTGATTCTAATGTACATCATATGGGAACTACTGTTTCAGGCTATTGAAACGTTATTAATAAGTAAATAACCTCACAAGAAGAAAGTGAACACAGATACAAAAAAGTATCATCCATCTTCTGAAATAGAAGTTTCTAGAATGAGTCCAGAAACTCTCCCAAAGGATAGACATAGACTTTCATGTTTGTTCTTAAAAGGAAAAATTCACCACTGTGTAAATATTAAAATGGATTCTTACAGTTCCAGTGTCCATTATGCCTACATGGTAATAGAATAGTGTTCAGGATGCCAGATATTCTTATTTCCTATGCCTGTGCAAAAAATGTTTCCTAATATTCTCACTGGAGATACATTGCTCTCAAAGCCCATATTTTTAATAAATACTGTAGCATAATAAGCATTTTTTACTTTTATTTTCTTTTGTTCCCTAAAGGCAGTTGCCCCTTTTACAACCATCTATAACTCTGTAATTCTAACGATAAAGCTGGAGGGAACTAGCAATATCTGGTCATTATCTCACTCACTTCAACTTTCTTTTGCCTCCCTCTTCAATATTTAGAGGTTCTTGTGATTTCATTGGTCCTCTTGGATAACCCAGGATACTCTGCCTATTTTATGATTAGCTGATTAACACCTTTTTTTCTACCCACAACCTTAATTTCCTTGTGCCATTAATCTACCATATTCATAGGTTCCTGGGATTAAGATATGAACATCTTTGGGAGGCTACTATTCTGCACACCACAGTTCTTCTCTGTAATCTAGTGTTTTCTTTTATGCAATCTATAATTGTCTATTGATGAAGGACTTGCACTAACTACTCTGTTACATTCCATTTTAATCTTTACTGATTTGCCAAGTGTCTTAAAAACACTTTTACCTATACTTAGGACCCTATATCCTGTTTTTCCTCTTAGAAACCTCTGCTGTTCATTGTTTCTCTGCTTCTCCTGAGTATTCAACGTCCTTCTTTACTAACTCCTTCCTATTAGTATTTAAACATGCCCAAGTCTCTCCCTGTTACCTGTTTTAAAAAGGGCCTTTCTCCAGCTCTTATCTCCATTATAGCCAGACATCTTGAAGGCATCTCCACTTAGCTCCAGTTGATACTCAACCCTCTGCCATTTGGTTTTACTGTTAGACCCTCAATAATCAGTCCAAGACCTGGCCCTGGATATGTGCTCACTAAATATTTGCTAAATGGATAATTGAATTTCCACCCAATTACCCAAGTCTATTTTCAAGTCTATAATGATACTCTAAGTATAAAGACAGCTCTTTGTTTTTGTTTTTTTTTTTGTGTTGTTTTGCTTTGTTTGGGTGCCTCAGTTAACTGACATTTGTAGTTGCTGATGCTCGTTGTGGATCACAAAGCCAAACTAGCTCTTATATAGGATGCCCATATCACATGCGGAGACTTAACCCTCTGCACCATATCCCTGGTACCCTCTATATTTTCTTTTATTAATTTTGTAGTTTCAGGTCTTACATTTAAGTCTTTGAACCATGTTGAATTGATCTTTATAGAAATTGAGAGAGTCAGTTTCATTCTTCTGCATGTGGATATCCAATTTTCCCAGCACCATTTATTGAAAAAATTGTCCTTTCTTCAATGCAAGTTCTTAGCGCCTTTGTCAAAGATCAGTTGGCTATAGATATGTGAGTTTAATTCTAGACTTTCTGTTCCATTGGTCTATATTTTATGCAAATGTATTTTTTGTTAAACTTTTTTTTTTTTTATTTAAGAGATAGAGTTACAGACAGAGGCAGACACAGAAAGTTTCCATTTGCTGGTTCACTGCCCAAATGGCTGCAATAGCTGGCTGGGCTGATCTGAAGCCAGGAGCCAAAAACTTCTACCGGGTCTCCCATGTGGGTGCAGGGGCCCAAGCACTTGGGCCATCTTCTACTGCTTTCCCAGGCCATAGTAGATAGCTGGATCAGAAGAGGAACAGCCAGGACACGAAATGGCATCCATATGGGATGCTGGTGCTGCAGACAGAGGCTTAGCTTACTATGACACCGCCCCTGTCATGTTACTTTAATCATTGTAGCTTTGAAATGTATTTTGAAGTCAGGTAATATAATATCTCCTAATTTGTTCTTCTAATTTATGATCACTTGGCTCATCAGAGGCTTTTGTGTACAAATTTTAGTATCATTTTTTCTACTTCTATGAAAGATGTCATTAGTATTTTAATGAGAGTTGAATTGAATACTTATATTGTTTTTGGTAATCTGGACATTTTAACAATATTGATTCTTCCAATCCATGAACACAGGTTTGTTTATGTTCATTTTTGTGTCCTCAACATTTAATATTTTTTGTAATATCATAGGCAATATTTTTTATCAACACATTATGAAATAGGCAGAACAAGGAGATAGTCCTGCTTTAGATAGTAAGTCTTGAGTCCCTGAGCAACTAAGATATTTTTCCAAGACATTCACAAAGTCAATGGTATATTTGAGACTAGTGCCTAGGATTCTTGGGTCCTTACCTTGAGTTCTTTTTCTGTCACATGCAAAATAAAATAACAGATTCAAGAAAAAAACATGAGGTTGGCATTGTGGCATAGGGGGTTAAGCTGCAGCCTGTGAAACCAGCATCCCATATGGGCACTGGTTCGAGTCCCAGATCATCTACTTCTAACCCAATTGCCTGCTAATGTGCCTGGGAAAGCGGTGGAAGATGGCCCCAGTACTTGGACTCCTGCATCCATGTGGGATACCCACATGAAGCTCCTGGTTCCAGCTTCAG